TATAAGGACGAGCACTTATCAACGTGCAATTCTCGGCAATTTATCTGACTTTAAAGACAAAGTTGTATTAGATGTAGGTGCTGGTTCTGGTATTTTATCATTTTTTGCAATTCAAGCTGGTGCAAAAAAAGTCTATGCTGTAGAAGCAAGCAATATGGCAAATCATGCAGAATTATTAGTTGCTGCTAATAATTTATCGGATAAGATTATAGTAATAGCTGGAAAAATCGAAGAAATAGATCTACCAGAACATGTTGATTGCATAGTCAGTGAACCTATGGGCTACATGTTGTATAATGAAAGAATGCTTGAAACTTATCTTCATGCCAAAAAATGGCTAGTACCAGGTGATCACAGATATATTATTTAATCTTATTATACACATTCCCTTATCATTTTAATTCGTATGAAACATATCGTATTTTATTTCTAGGTGGAAGAATGTTTCCTTCTAGAGGAGACTTGCATATCGCGCCATTTTCCGATGAAAATCTTTACATGGAACAATTTAATAAAGCCAATTTCTGGTATCAAACATGTTTCCATGGTGTAGATCTCTCTGCAATGAGAAGTAATGCAGTTAAAGAATATTTCCGCCAACCTATTGTTGATACCTTTGATATAAGAATTTGTATGGCTAAATCTGTTAGGCATATCGTAGATTTCCAGACAGCTAAAGAGACTGATTTACATAAAATAGGTAATAGGACCTAATAAATGTTACATGATACTTGTATTTTTATTTTGAGATAAATAGATTCGTAACATGTCATGCATTATATTAATTTGTGATAAATTATTAATATTTCAGCTATAGATGTTGACTTTCACATATTAGAAAGTGGTACATGCCATGGTCTTGCATTCTGGTTTGACGTGGCGTTTATTGGTAGTGCTCAACAAGTTTGGTTAAGTACTGCTCCTACAGAACCTCTTACACATTGGTATCAAGTGCGTTGTCTTCTTGAAAATCCATTATTTTGTAAAAGTGGCCAGTTACTTTCAGGAAAAGTAATTCTTATTGCTAACAAAAGGTAGTGTCGAATAAATGTTATATTTGTCATTTGTTTTCTCAATTATACGATTAAGAATTGATTAAAATATTAATGTACTTGATTGCAGGCAATCTTATGATGTGACAATAGAACTCAAATTAGAAGGGACAAATTTGGAAAGCAGTAGTAATACTTTAGATCTAAAAAACCCTTACTTTAGGTATACAGGAGCAGCAGCGCAACCGCCTCCTGGTTTAAATAATACTTCACCTAGTGAATCTTATTGGAATTCTCTGGATGCACAAGGTGCTCGGCAAGCTGTTAACATGGTTAATGGCATGTCAGTTAATGGTCTTGGTGAGGTTTCAATGGATACTAGCGCTGCAGTAAATGCCAGTAATTTACTTGCTATTGGTAAGATTTAATTTTGATCAAAAAATAATATTTCCAATCTATGTAGTAATATAAGATATTCTTTTGTATTCCACTGATAATATTTCATAGACATTGATCTAATACAATTTTAGATTGATTTGAGATAGATGTAAGTAAAAAATGAGTTACTCTTGTATAGTAAGAAATAAATATGATATTTAATACGGAACATTTTAAACAATTATTAAAAATAATTTAAAAATATGAACGTTTGCTTAGGTGGTCAACCGAATATTCACCCTGGTTCGATAACAAGTACTGGACGTGGCCGAGTAGGTGGTACAGCTACAAGTACACAAGCAGCACAATTGATAGGTGGTGGAATAACACCTAATATGTTCACATCTCCAGCTACTGTGAGTGTTACATATCATTGATTGTTTACTCCAGCGAGCTGTTTTCTCTATGATACTTTAGCCACTTTTTTAAAACAGAATACTCGAATATAATGTGAAACATTTAATAAGTAAATGGCTCGTTTGGTATTTTATCTTAATTTGTAAAAGATATTGAAGCGTTTACTTGCTTGCGTATCTTTCGTGCTACAGCTTGGTGTTACTTTCCAGCAATCGCTGGTCCTTGGAAATACGTCACATTATCCAGTAAATCCAAGTCTAATGATTGGTGATTATGTGACACCTGGAAACGGCATATCATCTCAGACTTACCGACAATGATCTATGGCAAAATCTTTTTGCACTGAATATTCTCGCAAAGTAAAACAGTTACAGAATGATCCTCGCCATAGTAATTCTAGCAACGTTGGTGACAAGGGCAACAGTAAACAAAGCCGTAAGTTGGTGTTTAGTTCGCCAGCCAGCAAGCTTCGACTCGCGTCTGCTGTTCGAATTTTACATGCAGTTGATTTAACCAGTCTTGAACCACATTTTGATCATAGCGGTAACAGTGTCGCTTATTTGAGTAAGCCTACAATTGATTCTGTATTTGGATTTGGTTGGGGTTCTGGAAGGAATAATTCTCAATGGGAGGCACGTTGGAGGAGATTGCGAGCCATCCCCTCGTAGCTGTCAATATTTTGTACTGTCATCTTTTATTTCATCGCCCTTTGAAGATCGGATCTTCCAGATTGAAGTGCACGCTTGCCAAATATATCCAGGAAGATATAATATTTTTTAACGACAATACAGTTTACCATATGCAGCGTTCTACGCCTTACTATTTTACCAAGTCCTGATATGGTCTATGCATCAGTAATTTGTAAGGAATTGTAGACCGATCATAAATCGTGTTGTGATTTCTTGTTTTTTCCTTTAAAAGACTTTAAAACTTTTAGTACCAGCAAGATATCGGAGATTGTACATCGATTAGTTGTTGGCATAACTGGTTTTCAATATCAAATGACTTTTACACAACTCGTAGAATAGAAAACAACATTTTTAACGTTTTGCAAAGTGCAAAGAGCAATAATCTGATAAGCATACAATATTAAGCACTTTGTGGCAGAATTTATTATATAATTACATACAATATTTTTGTATATATTTCATTCCTTATTTTTATTATTCTATTTTAAACAGGTATAGTAAAAAATATTTTATAATCTTTTCTTTTTATTTGCATTTTGTAGGATAACTTTTGCATGGATTGGTGCATAATTTATAAACTTACCTTTAAATTTAATTCTACCCAACTACTATTATATGTTACCATTCTTCTTATATATTTATAGAGTATGGTCTGATAAGACTTTCTAAAACTTAATTTTTCATAAAAGATTTTTTTTTAAGACTGCTATAATATGTTTTACTATAATATGATGTATATTATAGTTTATTGTATCAGTATTTAGGGTGCTTAAATTTATGTAAAAACGAAGAACTGATTTACAGTAATGTATCCAAAACCTAAACATGGTAAAAATGTAACAGGTTTCTTTTTAATCTATAGCGTGTTCTTCCATAATAAAAAAATGCAAATATATAAATATATATATATATATATATATATATGTATATGTATGTATATGATTTATAATTGCGTTAAGCATTGAATACTCATATTACTTTGTGTCTGGCATTCCACAAGTGCTTCTAATATTGTATGATTTGTTGTATATAACATAAAAGCCTGCTTCTCTTCCATTCTTTCTTTGTAAGAAAATAATTACACTAAAAGCAATATTTGAAAGATATCGATAACCAAAAGAAAATGACAAAACTTTTTTCTCTGCTTTTCTGAGTATTGCTTTCAACGTCATCATTGTATATTTGTGTGAGTGTGCATAGTTTTTCTTTTTATGTAATTGCAATATAATGACTGAAAGTTATATGACATCTCAGGAAGCGATACAAGTAGTTGATACTTTCATTCTGTTCGTAATTCTTTGTTTTTCTCTCAATTTGTTTCATAATTACACAATTTATACACTCAAGAAATTTAGTGCAAATGTGATGATGCTGTATTATTAATATTACCCATTGTTTTATACATCTATAAATCATTGGTTAATAGGAATAAAAATAGTATTTGTCATTGTTCATAGTATTAACAGTTACATCAAGCTATTGTTTCTGTAATATTATAATTTGATCTAAAAGACAAAAGAATTTCTTTTGTTTTGTTTTTATATATTTACATTGTTTTGTCCTATTCCTGTGTTTTTAAATGAAAGAAACAAGCTTGAGTACATTTGACATACTCTGAGGAAATAAATACTATTCGTTTCATGAATATCATTCGGTAGGTACATAAATACACGAAGGGAAAGGTTAGAATTGTGTTCAAAATAATAATTATTTAGTATTTTACGCTATAGATGACATATAAATTCATCTTAATTACTAATATAATTATGTCTCTACTTCCTCTGTGATGGTTGATATGAATATGATATTTAGTAAATCTTAGTACAAAGTAGTACAAAAAAAGGTAATAATAATTTTGTTTTTATATCCTTTCTTCCTTTGACAGCCACAATAAATAAATTCTATTTGTCAAGCTGTAAGAATTTATCACTTTTCCATTTTTATAAATTACCGATGTGCTTCCAAAATGTATACACAATGATATTTGGTCGAACGCTAATCTAACTTTTACTTTCGTGTGGGAATATCATACATTATGTTGCATGTCTGATCTGCTCGAAAAAGAATATTATTCAAAATTAGAATTTTTATTTTGTTTTTATTTTATTTTTTGTAATTACAGTACGTAGTGCGTTTATTTCTATTTTTGTTTAATTAAAAATAATATTGTAAGACTAAATTGCTCTTTAAAAACTGTATCATGTATCACGATATTCATTCATTCATTTTAAAGTAATCGATTGATAGGACGATTTGTTAAATGAATTTCAATTGTAATAATAATTTCATGATCATTAATCTGTCATCCCCATTGATTCTTATCACCGTCAATATTTATCATTGTACTTTTCAATGTGAGAAGACTACATTCGAAAGCGTGCGTTTTGTATAAAAGCATACGCGAGACAATGTGCACCATTCAATAAGATTATGATTAGTATGCACGCGCCATTTGTATGTATAGCCTTCGTGCGTGTGTGACGAATACGCATAGTATTTTTTTGCATCCATTACATTAATGAGGTTTATTTATACGGCACATTATATCACGAGCAATTTTGAATTGCACCGACTGAACATCAGTTTTGTTGTATTTACCTAACTACACATAAACACATACATCCGTCGTGCTCGATAATTAATTGTAAATACTCTGAGAGTTTTTTTGGTTTTAATTTGTTTCCTATCCTTTTTTTTTTTTTATTTTTTCTCCTTTTCTTCCCTTTCTTAGCAAACGCATTATAGTGTTCCAATTCTTTGTAATTATAAACTATCCTAGAGTAAGTCTGTTAGAAAAGTTTTATAATATATCTAACAGAAACTACGACCACCGGGGATCTTCTTTTCCTTTGCATTTTCTTCATGAAATGAATTATAATAAGAAGATCATTAATATTTTGTTATGTGTAAGGACACGTTGTATATAAATGTGTCAAAATTGCATCTTCAGCTCATGTAACTGGGCTAACATGATATTCCGTTAACTTTAAGGATGGTGCAATTCTAGACAAATCGTGTCGATTAATCGCTGTTTGCATAATACTGGTTCCATGAATTATTTTTTATAATAGGATTTTTTTGATCATTGTTTTTTTTTTATTTTTGCTTTCATCGATCTCCCTCCACCAAGTTTATATTCCGCGAGTGTTCTTTTTTATACTGTCCGAAACGACAAGAATGTATACGGAACTCTATTATGTTCCATGACTTCGTTTTACCGCAAGTTAAGGATTATATAAAATTATTGATGACAGACGGTTTAGTAATAATGATATTTATAACTGTCGAATTAATAAATTAAGTTGCAATTTTACCTCGCCGGCTCGTTATTTAATAATAATAATAATAATAATAATAATAATAATAATAATAATAATAATAATAATCATCATCATCATCGTCATCATACTCGAGCGACTCATTTTTTTAAATAAGCCGGCTGTGGAATTGATCTGTGTGAGAATGAGATAGGCCGTTTCACACTACGACTGAAATTAAACGGCGATGTAGTGAATAACGAATAATTATACAATAGTGTACGCACGAATACGAATCAAACGAGATATTGTACTTGTCAATGAGAGACAAAATTATATGGTGCGCGGTAAATACGCTTTTTACTATTTCACCTTATCTTTATTCTTAGGTATTTCAAGAGTTCATCTTGAATCGAACAGTACGAAGGTAACATAAATTTCATATTAATCTAATCTTTATTTGATTTCACATAATATGTATGTAACAGTTTATACAACAATCAATGAAATAAATTTCTTTATTTTTCTTTTTTCCATCTTCTATATAAATTAGGGCCAGCCTAACATAATTTTTGAATGATCAACTATATGATATATTTGTAATTATCTAACGATTAAATGGCATTTACTCAAATTTCAATTGCATGCTAATACATATATGATCATAACAGTACCTTCCATTTCGCCATAATTAACATAAGGCTTGTGTATAGAATACATGTTCTGAAGTGTATCGGTAGGCATTAGGAAAGAGAGATTAAATTTAAATCTAAGCCCAAACACGTAGCGTCGAATCCCAACTTCCAGTTGAAACGGCAGTACCATCCGGTGAAACTCTCAAACAAGACACACGATTATCGTGTCCATATAAAAGTGCTACTCTTTGGCACTTTAAAGTATCCCATATATTTACTGTATAATCATTATACCCAGCAAACAATAAACGTCCACTAACACTGAGATCTATTGTATTTGCTCCGAATATGATACTTTCTTTCGCATAAATAGCTACTTCTTTATCGGCGCGTAAATCAAAAAGTCGGCAGGTAGCATCATCGGAACCTGTTGCTACTGCATCGCCACTTGGATGAAATCTTACCTATAAAAAACAATACTATTCTATCAAATCAAAATATATTTATCAAATGGATTACTATTACGAATTAACTCTATTTTAATACCGAATTAACATCGGACTGATGTCCTTCAAAGCTTTGAACACATTGTCCACTACGCATATCCCAAATTAGAACCATTTTGTCGCAACTACCCGATACAAACGTGTTGCCAGTTTCGCTTGGTGCTAAATCAATTGACATAACATCGCTAGAATGTCCGTGAAAACTTTGAAGCAATTGACCACTTTCAACATCCCATAAAGCACATGTACTATCACCGCTTCCTGTTAAAATTTGTTGATCGCTATTGGGAAATGCACAACACGACATGTACGATGTGTGAGTTCCAACAGTTTTTTTACGAGTAGTAACATCATCTTCTAAACTTAGAGGATAAACTGTTACTTTGTTGTCTAATCCCCTATAAAAATGAATTGAAGTAATTTACAATAATTTTCTTTCTCTTTTGCTAAAAACTTATTCTAAATGAAATATATATATATACATTGTATTTACAGACGTACCCACATGCTACTAAAACACCACTAGGAGCATAAGCACATGCCATTACCCATATTGTAGGCATTGTAACTGCATGTTCCTTATTTGTTGTGAAAGCATCCCATATTATCATTTTGCCATCCTGAAAAATGGTTTATATGTATATGAATGTAAAATGTAAAAATAAAGATCAAACTGTATACCTGAGAAGAAGAAACAATATGACGTTTATCAGGAGACCAGTCAGAACAAAGAACTTTAGCCTGATGCCCTTTCAAAACACGTCGAGGTTTTACATTTATGCAATTTATTCCTTCCAATCGATCAGCTACACTGGCAACTACAAAATGTAATACTTAAATTTATACACGATATTATTCTTATAACATACAAAAATAAGAAAATTTAACATAATTTATCATTCTTTAATGTCTTTTTTTTTTTTAAATCATAATCATTCACTCAACATACCTCATTTTTATATAATATAATGTTATAGAATGCAGAAATAAACATGAAAATAATTTATCTTTAACTAGATAGTTTAGATAGTTACGAGTAACATCATTTAGCTTTTGTCGTTCATCCTCTAAACGTATCTTTAAACTCTCTGCCTCTTTAACCAGCCTAATGTGTTCCACTTCGCTAACAGAGTCCATATTTAGTAGGTTCTTCAAGACTAGTTTAGAATAAAATCACAGTTCAATCCATATGAGTGTACTTCTTTACAGGCGCAGAGTATATATCTGCAACTAATTAATATCTTACAATAAACATTTTTAGTTGTTTTACTCTTCATTAAATTTTTGCATTAATGTATTAGGTACAACTTGTGAGATATAATATTTGTTAGAAAGATACAAAATTGACAAGTTTCTTGCATAAATTATTAACTACAAGGTTTTTATATTTTCATGTTTGTATAGGACATAACTTTTTCTGAAATATCATTTTATTTTTGATAATTTTTGACGTTATTTTGTAATAAGTTTCGATAACATTAAAAATCGGTTATCAACGACAATCAATACGAGTTCACAATAACAAACCTTGACGCCGGTGCAATAACGCGTCCACAGCTAGTCAAACTTCATCTAAACACAATAACATTCACTGTGTAAAATAAGTTTATATTTTCTGCCAAAAAGAATTATTTAATTTTTTTAATAAAGAATTGATCATTATTATTGATCCTTTTTATCACGAAATAACAATAAAGTAACTATAACATGATTCAAGATTATTTTAAAACCCGCAACTCATTTAACCAATCGCCATTTTAGATTTAAGGGGCGAATTACTCCAGAATTTAAATGACATTTATTCAATCGTAAATTTATAATTAAATGCTTGTTTTAGATGTATATGTTAATTAAAATTATTTTAAATTAATAAATGATTTTATCAATGCATGTACATATAAGATGTAAAGTATAATAATTATAATAATCAAATTAAATAAATGACGATCGTATAGGATTATTAATAAAAAACAAATACATAGTTTATATTATCCTATTGTAGATTGTATGTAAGAAGATTTAATACTTATTGCAACAGTATAATTTTCTTTGTAAGAAATATGGTTTCTGTGTGTATATTAATTAATCAACGTTTTTAATGTACGTCATTTGAATTTAGCGCGTTTTGCTTATTCCACTGCAGCGGATATTACGGTTAATCTCCAAGTCAGAGTTCGTTTTATAAATTATTTATTTCTAGCTAATAAATAATAAAAAATATTAGTCTAAAAATCATGATTTTTGAAATAAAACAACGATATTAGATTTGTAAGATTATTCAATTAGTCATTATCGGTATAAACTTTAAAATTTGGTTGGATTCGAGGTTACAGCGCAGGTCAATGAATGTCGATTTCCTTTGCTCGAACGACAGAGTGGGGCTAGTCAGGACGTACTTCTGATCGTCCTCCTCTTGATCATTCTTCTTCGTAGAATTCGTGGTCCGGTTGACGGACTTTTAACATATCCACATGGCTCTTTTATCTCTACGTTTGGCCTCCTCTTTGGCGAGGCAGTTACCAAATGCTACGATTCAGGTAATTTATTAAAAGAAGACAACTAATTTATGTCAAGACATAATCATATAATCGTGTCATAAACCGTCGATATCGCCGACATTTTATATCTGTCCATTACACGTTTTCGTAATTTTTAGGGGATATTTAATAATGTTCTTCATTAAACATTATCTAATAAAAAAGATGTTTTTCATTTATAATCATTAAGAAATATAATAAGATTTTTATTGGCACCGTTTTTAGGGTATTATGTATTATATAAAGTGAGGTCTATCAAGTTATGTAATAAACATTTGGGAAGTATATCTATGAAGGATACTTTAAGTATATTCCTATTTCTTTTTTTAGGTCAACTGGCCTGCTGTCACTGTTTCAACTCGCAAATATCATGTATCCTGTAGTCGCCGTTCTGCAGAAATCTCTTCTATCCTGGAAGAACGTATCCTTGGCGCTGCTCCAAAGGTGTGTCTACCTTACATTTAACTAATTATTCATTCGTTTCATTATATGATAATATTTATGAAAACTTTCCATGAAATTATACTTAATTAATTATTAGATTTTAATATCAGTAAAATTGTAGGCAAATCTTGAAGAAACAGGCAGAGTACTCAGCATTGGTGATGGTATTGCTCGTGTCTACGGTTTAAAGAACATTCAAGCTGATGAGATGGTAGAATTCAGCTCAGGCTTGAAGGGTATGGCATTGAATTTGGAACCTGACAATGTTGGTGTTGTCGTATTTGGTAATGACAGGCACATCAAGGAAGGAGATGTTGTTAAACGTACTGGAGCTATTGTGGATGTTCCTGTTGGTGAAGAATTATTAGGACGCGTTGTTGATGCTTTGGGTAATCCCATTGATGGTAAAGGCCCATTAAATAACAAACTGAGATTCCGTATTGGTACCAAGGCTCCAGGTATCATTCCTAGGTAATGCAATTACATGAACAACCATGTATAGATTTAATGACTATATGTTTTTAACATATGTGTACTTTTATAGAGTATCTGTAAGGGAACCTATGCAAACTGGAATCAAGGCTGTAGATTCTTTAGTGCCTATTGGTAGAGGACAGCGTGAGTTGATTATTGGAGACAGACAGACTGGAAAAACTGCTCTTGCCATTGATACTATCATCAATCAAAAACGTTTCAATGATGGTGGTGAAGAGAAAAAGAAATTATATTGTATCTATGTTGCTATTGGCCAAAAGAGATCTACTGTTGCTCAGATTGTCAAACGATTGACTGACAGTGGTGCTATTAATTACACTATTATTGTTTCTGCTACCGCATCTGACGCCGCCCCGTTACAGTATCTGGCGCCATATTCTGGTTGTGCCATGGGAGAATTCTTCAGGTAAAGTAAAATTAATACCATTAACTTTGTTGTAATATATTTCTTATATTTAATATGCGACTTTGTGATTAAATAATATTTTAATCTTTCTTTTTATAGGGATAATGGAAAACACGCTTTAATTATCTATGACGATTTATCGAAACAGGCTGTTGCCTATCGACAAATGTCTTTGTTACTTAGGAGACCACCAGGTCGTGAAGCTTACCCTGGTGATGTATTTTATCTTCACTCGCGTTTATTAGAGCGAGCTGCTAAAATGAATGAAAGTTTAGGTGGTGGTTCTTTAACTGCTTTACCTGTCATTGAAACTCAGGCTGGTGATGTATCCGCCTATATTCCAACCAATGTCATTTCTATTACTGATGGTCAAATCTTCTTGGAAACTGAATTGTTCTATAAAGGTATCCGACCAGCCATTAACGTTGGTCTGTCTGTATCTCGAGTCGGATCTGCTGCTCAAACTAAGGCCATGAAACAGGTGTTGTATAATAATTTAAATACAGCAAAATGATATAACTATACTGTTAATAGTAAATATACACATTATTATATATTATTATTGTTATTTTATTATTATTATATTATATAGGTTGCTGGTTCCATGAAATTGGAATTGGCTCAGTATCGTGAAGTCGCAGCTTTCGCACAGTTCGGATCTGACTTGGATGCTGCAACTCAACAATTGTTGAACCGTGGTGTCAGATTAACGGAACTTCTCAAACAAGGACAATATGGTAAAGCTATGTCCTAATATATACAATGTCTATTGCTGTTTCAAATTTCTTCATTTATAATAACATTATTTTTATAAAATTCTTTTTAGTTCCAATGGCCATCGAAGAACAGGTTGCTGTTATTTACTGTGGTGTCCGTGGTTATCTTGATAAAATGGAACCATCTAAAATCACTGCTTTTGAAAAAGAATTCCTTGCTCATATTAGGTAAGTAATATTTATATATATACGAATATTTAAATAATTAATTTCTTAAGATTATATGGATTAAATAAATTAATTGAATCTATTTTTGTGTATAGGTCTACTCAACAAGATCTTCTAAGTACCATTGCAAAGGAAAATTCCATTAGCGAATCATCCGACGCTAAATTAAAGAAAATTGTCACTGATTTCCTTTCATCATTCTCAGCGTAAATGATTGTTAAACACATTTAAGTATCAGTATAGAGACAATTAAATGGAACATTCTTTATTAAAACAAGTTCAGTTTACAGATGAAATACATTGATATTAAAAGTATCAACAATGTATGTCGTCTGTTTATGATAAATGTAATTAACATTTCCAAAATCCATACAATAAATACGATAGTCGTAATATATATTAGAAAAATATATAATTTCAGTATAAATAAAATTTATTATCTCTGTTACACGATTTAAATATACTTCTCTTGAGAAATATTTACAAAATGACAAGAGAAGTTTTATAATGATATAAATAATGATAATAAACTGTCAAATTTTTTTCAGAGTATTGATACTTGTATTTTCATTTCCAAACAATGACTTCTATTTATCCATAGAAATTTCTTACCCTTTTTGATGTTTTTTTATTGATAAGTTTTTCGATACTGAGCTAATTAAATAAGAAACACTTTTATTAATTGGACAATTTTGGTTTAGTAACTTTTGTCAGATGACGCTATACTCGAGTTAAGTTGGTAATATTCTGCTATAATGCATTGTTTTCAATAAATTATGAGAGAAGGTTGTCCTATTTCACATTTAAATAAATAAATTAATTGTGTGTATTATTTGCTTTGAAAAATTGTTTGAGACCGTCAATCGGAGACATGCTACAAGATTTTATCATCTGTCGTGAGAATACTAATGACACTTTTCATTATACATATTCTAATTAATTAAAAACAAATAATTATTATTACAATATTTTTAATTATTAAATATTTTAAAGATTTAATTATTAATAATTGAAATGACCGAATATAAAATTGTATTTTCCAAGAATTTTAAAATCTAGTTTTAGATAGTTCTAATGTTGTCAGAACTGTTTTTGTTATCTATATAGTGAAGTAACTGCAGTAACGATTTTTAGGTTACTTTGGATCAATCGTTCTTGTTCCGGAAACAAGGAAAGCTTAAAAATGTCTAAGAGGAATCCTGGGGACGAATACAGAAAAGGTTTTATTCATTTTATTTCCAATTTTATTTTCTATTTAAATTACACACTATATGAGTTTTTAATTTACATTCATAACTACGCTATTTGAATATAGTATTAGAACGATTGACTACTAAGAGCTTTCCGTGTCAAAGTGTTTTTTCATTTCTTTTCGATTTATCATCTTTCTAAAAAGTATTTGGCTTTGGTAATATATCCAGAATTTAACTAGTGCATGTTATTTACGAATATTTATCATACAAACTAGACTATGTTGTATCTGCATATATTGATAATATGATATTAATATAATGTTGTTAATAATTATGATTTATTGCTGAGAATATAAAATATATTTTGAAATATATTTTGTAGGTTGTATTTAATACATAATAAAAATTATTTTGAATTTGGCAAATTTGTATAGATTAATATTTTTCTTTTCTTTTTTTTTTTTTTTTAATTTAGAGAAATAATTTATAATACATTATTTATAGGACAAGAAAGTTGTACTAAGCATGTTGCATAAAGATTTCTGGCTAAATAATCAAAATCGTTTAACTTGATCTGAACTTTGCCAGTGTTTGACGTTGTCAGGGTCAAGTGTCTACAGAGCAGAGGACACCCATGGGGACAGCAGAGTGGTAAGGGATCGTTCACCACTAAGATCAGATGACCACTGTGAATCTGCCAACTTTAGCCAAGGTGATGTCAAGAAACAGAAACTTGCATTTGGGTTTGGGAAAAGGCAAACTGGTGCTGACCAAAAGAAGGGAATTCAAATCAAACTAGGTTCTGCTGCTGTAAGTATTTAATGCGTAACTGGCATATATGATACGATATATAATTGACTGTTTTTTTTTTTTTAGAACTCTAGTACAAAAACCACTGTAGTACAGCGACCCACAGTAGCATCAGTATTTAATGCAGACGAAGATGATGAACCGGAAGAAATGCCTGCAGAAGCAAGGATGAGAATGCGAAATATTGGACGAGAAACACCTACCTCTGCAGGACCAAATTCATTCGGGAAAACAAAACAAGGCTTTTGTGATTCCAAAAAGATATTTGAAAAAACGCTTAAAAAAGCGATGGAAGAAGCTAATAAATGATTTCTTATTTAATTTACGTTTGAGCTGTTGTTAATTGTACATTAATTTAATCTATTTGAATTACTAAACTTATATTAGATCTTCGATATCAAGTTTTACTATTTCATTATCTAGGAAGTATCAATTTTTTAAATATAAATTACTATATAAATTACTATATAAATTAATAACGGGATGAGACACTTAAGGCTTCATTTGCTTCTTCACATCACAAAGATTAATGCTATGATTTTTATAAATTAATAGTAATTTTACTTATTGACTTTAATGATCTGTTTCTTATCAACATAAAAATATTCTTGAAAAAGCAATAAAGTGTATATTTATTCTGTAATTTATAAAGAATAAGGCAAATAAATCGTGTGGATTTTTATTTCATTGGTTTTTTTTTATTTTTCTATTTATTTTTAATTTATTACATAGCAAAAAGATTATTTCCTGTTCTGTTGTCCTTGACGTAAATCCTAAAAATTAAAATTTTTTTAAGAATTAACAAATAACTATTACTAATAACAATAATAATAATAATAATTAGTAAAAATGATTTCAATTTATATGTTTAAAGTAAATATATAAATAATATATCTAAAAAAATTTCTTTCACCATGATATAATGCATATAGCTACGTGTTAAAGTCAGTGTTATAATTTGTACTTGTTATGTTTGGGCCATAAAACGTATCACATGTTTCAAGTACTGTTATAGCGCAAGAGATTAATAAATAACTATTCTTCTTTTGACTAAATTTATAACAATCTCATAATTACCCTTGGGAAGTTGCGCACAGGAGGTGTCCTAATACGTCTAGCTTCCTTAGATCTGTTACGGACCACTTTAGAGTGAATAGCGCAAGATACACAATAGTGTAACTTCGCATATAATTTAGGAAGTTGATAGGATGGATATTGACTGGCTTCAGTTATATCTCTTACAGCAGCTGCTTCTACAATATTACGGATGACGAACTTTTTGATTGCCTTATCTTTAGGTACGCATCGTGCACAATTAGTACAACGTACAGGATTTACATGGCCACGGCCATGCTTGGCACGTCCACCGTTTCTACGTTTGCAAGTCTGTAAAAAAACGAAATGATATTTAATATATAATTTTTCAAATGTTTATTAAGTTTTTTGAAAGTTAAATATATAAATTATTATCGACTCAATGATAAAATAAATCGATCAGCAAAATATTTTTTAATATTAATTTGTATTTATTATAGAATTAATATTATTTAAAAAATTGTTGTATATGATGTAAATATTAATGAATGTTAAGCTTTAATGCAAAAAAACACATGGCACGTTTCAACATAATTGTTATGCAAAATGCAACAACAAAAATAGTTAAAATATTTTCAAATTTTATTTAACACTAATCAATTATGGAAAATACTTTAATTCTTGCAGAACTTCTTACGAAAATATAACAATATTATATATATAATTTTATAAAATAAATATGTACTACACTAACCATCTTGTTTCAGCACATTCAGGTAAATAGAAAGGAAGTCGTTTAGAAGTAACTGTCGTGAAGTCTGTGAACGAGTGATGAGTCAAGAGTAAGCTTGTTTCCGGTTATTGAATTTTCTACAAATTATTTAAAACAATATTCATGTATTCCACGACTTTATAAATAAAAATATCTAATTTTGTTTGAATTAATTTCTTTGATATAACAATGAAAAGAAGTAAATAAAATTAAAAAATCATTGAAAATTGGAATGACTTATTGAGCAACTTCATAGCTGAAAAGTCACTAGTAAAAAAATGTAATAAAATAGGATCTTTTTCTTCTAATATTTTAAGATTATAAATATGAAATGAACAATTTTTGTACCTATAAAGTTAAGTTTAATTTTAGATTGCATTTCCTTCCGTTTTAATATCAATGTCAACATTTAATACTAGATAACTATGTTTAACAGCAAAGTTTTAGTAGAAGGAAGATGTCAATGTTCTTTACAGTTTGATTTGGTTTAATTTATGCCTATTAATTGTAATAAATGTTATTATAACATTTCTTTAATAAAATTAATTATTTATTTTTTAAATATTTAATTTAAAATATTGTTCATTTATTTATGGGATTGATCATTCAGTAAAAAATAAAGTTTTGGAACTAAAATGGTAGAAGAAACAGTTAATTCTACAAATAAGCCAAAAGTAAGCTTAAATCAATTAATTTTTATAATCAGTTTAGACTTATTTATATATTAATATAGTATATACATATATGTTATATTTTATATTTTATATATATTATATTTTAGGTTAAAACTGCTCGGCCTAGACCAGTGTATTTATGGAATGTATTAGATGTTCAGAAATGGTTACGGAGACATTGCAGTGACTATTATCAGTTATATCATGAAAAATTTCTTTATGTAAGTATAAAATATAATTTACGCTGTAAAACGAAAAAAGTAAAAAGGTTTTGATAATTGTATGTATCTATCTTTACATTTTTGACTTTTGGTTTTGAAGAACGGGTGAGGGTTGTTTGCCTACAATTTTTATCATAAATATCATATTAACATATTCTCTGTAATATTTTCCTCATCTGATTCCTTTCTACCTCTTGTCTTGAAAGTACCCTCTGCATTATTAAACCTTTTACTTCGTCTGATATTAAATGTATATATTAATGTATCTTATTTATTCTTATTTTTATTTATAGCATGATATTACAGGAAGAGTACTTTTGAGGATAAATGAAAATATTTTACTGAGGCTTGGAATTGATAACGAGCAACATAGAATGGATATATGGAGAGAGATTATGAAGCTGCATCTTAAGACTGACATGTTAGAAATAAGAGACATAGAACGTCGTAACAATGTGAATTTTGACTAAAATAGGTATTTCTATTTAAATTTTATGATCTTATGAAATTATCGTACGTTGAATTTTTAATAGGTGTTTATTAATGATATAGTTTTTAAATTTTGAATAGGAGGTGTCGTTATATATATATGCATATAAGTATAAAATAACTTAGCATCGTTTGGTTGAGTTTTTAGATGGGATTTTTTTCAAATCTTTCTTAATTTTATTAGTTTTATATTTTCTGTACACATTTATTGACTAGAGATATTTTTGAAATATTTTAGTAGTGTATCATTTATTTAATTTATTTTTATGCTTACATTCTATCCACTTATTACAAGTACGAGTACAAGTATAATCTGATTCTCATTGATAATCTCAATATCACATAGAAATTGATTTACATTTTTGAAATCATTTGTTAAAATCAATATTACCCTGTTTTCTTATCATTTTTACATCGAGATAATGCGTTTTGAAAAATGATAATTAAAAATATTTTAATTGTAACGTAACTTATGTCGCGATATCCTTGATTATATACCTTGCATCATTTTATAGAAAATATTTGTGGTTCAGTTTAGATTAGAAAAAGTTATTTAATATATATAAAATATTAGCGAATTTATCTTACAGATGACGTATATTTTAAAATTTTAAATAAAACTTGTAAAGTTGAACTTGTAAAGTAAAAAATAGTTTTACTTCCGCCTGGAATAATGAAAAGGAATGCTTTGTTGAATCATTTTTTTTTTTTAAATTTCTGTGACAAAGAAAATAATTTCAACTTCGAACATAATTATTTGACGAAGTTTATTGTAGATCCGTTCTAATCAGCTTTATGATAATATACCGAACGGAATTGATCATTTATTGTTCATCGTATTTATATTTGTCTTATATCAAAGACACAGTTCTACTTCGATACTTTTTGTATGTTGTATCTGTCGTTGTTGTATCATGTTTTTGTATGTTTGTGTTTGCCTAAAGAAAATACTAGAGTTGAGTTACATTGCTTGGTGATCTTTGATCAGGATATTGATTTCTTTGTCCATTGCGAGTCCAACGTGCTGATGTATTTTTTTGTCGAGAAATAGATTCATTGTTGTCATTGATAGATATTTTGGATGATTCTCGCATTGGTATACCTTTATAGAAAGACGGATAACTACTGGAACCAGTTCTTCGCCAGTCATATCTAAAATGATTCATCGTATACAACGAAGATTAATGGATGTCTAGAAGGAGGACATATGTTAAATTGTATTAAATTAATGTAATTCTAGTCAATTTCGTGTGTTGCAGGTAATTGGTTATTTTCTCATTATTGGATTATTATTTACTTTTTAAAATGGAAGAAGGGCGTATTTTACACCAGCTGATTTCTTTAATTATTAATATAAACAATGAATTGGTTTAAGATTTCTTTTATGTATTAGGAAATGGAACATGCGCCCTTCTTTTACTCATTCATTCAATTAATATTCCTTGCAGGAATTTTGGCTATTAATTTTTTAAGGGAATTCAGATTAGTGATGTAGTATTTTTTAATAATAGTAACGAGAATTGATAATATAAAAAAAGCACCTGAGAATGTACCTAATGGATGCTCGTGTACTTTGTGTTTTGTCGAGATCTATGCTGTCGGTTGGTGGACTTGTTGACAATCTTCGAGATCGAAATGGGCATCTCTGTTGAAATTCTCGTTTGAATTTTTCCTATAATGATTCTTAAATGATGATAATAGCTATGTCCGTAAATTATTGATAATATCAATTAACGACTTACATTGTATATACCATAAACGAATGGATTGCAGCAACTATTTGACATTGCTAGCCAATCGCAACAGAACCATATAATGTTTATGTATTGATACCTGCAATAAGCTTTATTTTATTAAAAATATGTATATCCACGTAGGTGTATAGGAATTAGTTTAATTTTAATTACAATCTACTCACTGATTTATTTTTGGATAAGTGTATTGCAAGACGTTGTATGATTGTAATGGTAACCAGCACATCGCGAACAATACGACAACAATTACCAACATTTTGATAACCTATTTTTATTATTTAAAAAAAAAAATGAATCTTATGAAAAGAAATTATATTTTATAATTGTTTCTTTTTTAAGTACAAGTTGGAAGGTCGGTAATGTTCCATACTGTATCGGTAATGTCAAGTATATAGCTCACAAGTTCCTTCTTTATCTACCCAGATTCATCTTAGTTACTACCGGAATCAGCAGAGGGCAATAGTAGGTACTTAACGCGACGACGGTACAGCAAGGAATACAGTATTCTTTGATAGTGTGATAGTATAAGATATATTCTTTGACAGTATATATGGTATAGTTATATTGTAATAGAATTTTAAATAATTATATTTAATTTTTAGTGTATATAAACGTGTGTATGCCTTCAGAAATGCATTTGTTTCGCGTGACTGTAAGACGAATATCTTCACTTTTATGTAAATATATTGACGCTCCTGTACAGTGATGACTTCGAGGCTATAATTTTCCTGTAATGTAAGTAGAGTGCATTAGAATATTAAAATAATTATTAATTAATCGATAGAAGTGCCTATTGTCGTCTAAAAGCTCGAAGAATATGATCTATGTAACGTCCTCTTCGAAATTCATCTTCAGACTGGCACGTTATTGTTTATGCAAGTACTTTTATTAAATGTTGTATATATGACTTTTCATATAAGGAAATTGTATTTATTATTAATTGTGTGTGTATTTATTAGTTTATTTTTAGATTTCGAAGACAACGGTACGTAGATCTTATACTCCGAGTTTTTAGGCAACAATAGATGTTGCCTAAGTGTTTATATATTAAAAATTAAATATAATTATTTAAAATTCTATTACAATATAACTGTACTATATATAATATCAAAGAATATATCATATACTATCATATACTATCAAAGAATACTGTGTTACCACTCACTGGTGGTCTCGGCAGTAAGAAAAATGGAACTGGGTAGATGAAGAAGATAATTTGTGAGCTTCTATATACTTCTTTGTATTCTTTGATAATATAATAAATCTTTTTTTATTTTAAGAGTTTTAGAAAACTGATCTATCGATTCATTATACTTATTAACGATATTATCGACGAAGTATGGAGAGTTACCTTTTTCCAACCGCGATACTCAACAAATAATTGCAATAAACAGATTAATTAATTAGATTACATAGAGAATTTCCAAAAAAAACTCGATATTTCATATTGCATATCAAATTCAGTTTGATCAAAACGTGACTTATATTGTTAAATATAATTATACCTTTTTTTTATTTTTCATAAAAGTAGCATCACGCGAATCTTCTGCGTTTCCAGGTGCTTTGCTACCCCAAAGCGTTCTAGCCATTCGAGCATACACGACGGATATTATTAAGAGAGGCGTCATGTATTGTAAGAAAACCAATAAAGCTCGATATGTTAGCATCGAATTTTCAGACATGTTTTCATTATGACAGAACGGTTTTGTGTGCGTGCGTCCACCTGAAAATACTTAAATTAGATGTCAATGCAATGTCATTGAACAAATCCAATTTTTTCTATTCGACTGTATTTATTACTTTTATCTAATTTTCTTTTTTGATTAATTTAAAATCAGAAAACAATCTCTCTCTCTCTCTCTCTCTTTCTTTCTCTCTCATTATTATATTTTATTTCTATGTTATTATCTCTCTTTTCTTTTATTTGATTATTTTTATTATATATATGTATACGAGCTAACGCGGAAATGTATTTCACAAAAAGCGCAGACAAGTTTGTTAATAATCATGCTAGACGTTTTGCAGTATTATCAAAAGAGCATTTTGTAATTAAGGTAGAGATAGACAGATAAATGAATAAATGAAGAGAAAGAGAGAGAAAAGATGAGAAAGGCGCGGTATCTGTATATATATATATATATATATATATATATATGTACATGTGCGGTATACGTAGATATTATAGATTCGTTGATGACGTTTCCTACGTATAAAAGGTGGAGTTAGGTTTTACGAGTGATATTCATGGCATACGTTTCTTTTTATTATAGATTCTAAACGAATGGGAAGAAAAAATATTCCTTTTACGAGACGATTAACGCGTGTTATAACGGTAAAGATATTTTTAAGAGTATGATCACACAAATATTTGAGCTTCCTTTTTATTTTACTTGTTCATTTTTGTTAAAAGAAGTAAAAATAACGTAATATTCGATGGGGCTTGGTTAAACGGATAATTTTACTCGATAATTTGACTTTGAAGTTTCTTAACGTACAATTAATATTAATTCAAATCTCTCAATGTATAAAGGAAATAGAATTGTTCTCTTATTGTATCTGCGTTCGGTGCTGTTTTAAGAGTTTAATGGGTTTGTAATGTTCATTACCTGTTACAGTAATTCTAACAATGTATTCTGTTTTAGCTTTGATTATACATTTCTTGTTTAATTAGATGTTGTTGAACTATAGAAATTCGTAAGGCAAGATCTTTTAATTGTCTAATGTACCATCCTGCATTTCCAAGGATACCTCTCTCTATCTCTCTCTTTTGGTTTCGACCATGAGTCGATAAATCGAATGGGAACACCGCAATAGTAATGTACATATGTAGTTAGACTCTTTGAGGTTGTTCGAGGATTCGAGTAGTGCCAATTGTCCTCTTGTAAATTGGTTGAATTAGTAGAGAGTTATTTTATGATTGAGGAATCCCATATACTCGATATCCAATTTGTTTTTTTTTAATTCATGACGATGAATTTCTACGATGATAATCCTTTTTTTCTTTTATTTCTTTTAGTCAAACCGATATAAAATGACTGGTTCTGATTGTTCATTAGCTATAAATTAACTTGTATACTGGGATCGATAATCCGGATGTTATTTTTAGGAAGAGGGAATCGTGTGTATCTAACGCCAGATGGACTCTCGTTAACCCATGGGGGAAAAATAAGTTTAAAATTGGAATGGAATACAAATAAACAGTTAACTTATGTGTACCATTGGGATGATAGTGGTCAGGGGGAACGATACCTTTTGAATTTTTTCCGAATTGTTTTTTCAGGACATTTGCTAAAGCTTTCATGTCGCGATATCTCAGTGCATATTCGATGGAAGGAAGACCGATTCTAAGTTTACAACGAGCATTAAAGAAAAATCATCTGCAACCTAAATCGCATATAGCATTGCTATTTTATTGAGGCGAATCGGATCGTCAACGTTTGTTTGTTATCGTTTTGAGAAACCAGAATCGATGCTTGCGATGATCTCTCGTTAATTTTCGATCGAATAGAGTAAAGTTAAAATAAAATGAAAAATTTTCTTACTGGTCAACGTTTCTTCTATTATAATCACCCTGAGTGCAAGTGCCATTGGTATCGCTAAAGCTGTTGCCAGTATCCAGATTCCAGCTATGATTATTCTTGCTTTGAGTTTTGTCGGACTGGCGCTGCAGCAAATAATTACGGGTGATTATTTTATTTAATGAAAAAGAAGATTTACAACACCAGAGAACGTGAACATTAAATAGATTTTTTACTTTTGTTTTCATTAATTACATGAAAATGTAATTTTGTATTTAATTCGTAAATGTCCTACATCTCTTCTTTTAGTAAAATCATTAAGAGAATAAACGTCACACTTACACATATAAAATAATAGAAATTGTAAAAATAATTTCTGAGAAAGTTGTCGATACAAACGAGATTACCTGCGCGTTATCTTCCCAACGAACTTTGTTTAACTTTTGCGGCCCGATCGAGTGCATCATCCTAACGAGTTTAACAGCAGGATAACCGAGTTTTGTTTAATCGGTTTTTCATCGTAGTTTTCCATTTGATTTAATTTTATCAATTATTACTTTTCTATATAATATTAATCTTTTACGCATCGACTATAATGGTTTTCTGGAAAATTGTTTTCTCCAATGGAAACGAAACTTTTTCTATAAAATTATATTGTATCCTATATATTCGCGTTGTATATTTCCTATTTATCATTCTTTATCTTTTTATAATCTTAATTAAAGAAAAAGGAAGATTAGAAGACCTTCTGTGGTTGTTCTTATCTTCACATAAAATGATTAAAAACATCGATTCAATATAAGAAGAAATGAAATTGTATGTAGGCATTCGGTAAGAAAATAAAAATTTGTCTCACCACGCGTAGATGTTAATCGTTTTTGATGTATAAACGTCTATTGTTGACCTTTAGTTTTGATAATATCTCACCTGAGTGGCTTGAGAATGGCACGATGTCTATCAATCGCGATCGCTGTGAGAGTAAACACCGACACGTTCACGCAAAGTACACGAACGAAGGGACAGAAGGCACACATAAAGTGCGGAAGGTTCCACCTTTGCAGCAAGGCCGCTTGGAACTTTGAAGCAGAAAAAGGATAATAATGATAAATAATAATGATAATATTAATAATAATGAATATGTAAAATATTGGGTATCCCAAGAGTTGCTTTACAAAACAAAAGATAAAACGATACAAACAATTAATATTTGTTTAACTGAATAAAATGAAAATATTCTGTTTTTTATTTTAAGATATGTGAATCGTCGGTTAGAGTGTTACCAAAAATTTGTCGTCAATTTAAATATCAATATTTCAGTTTGGTAAAGCAACTTTGTGGAACATCTTGTATAATACTGGATTAATATTTGAATTACCTGGAATGGAATGACAAAGAGACCGATAATAATATCAGCTAATGCGAGATTGGCGATGAAGAAATTCGTCATGTTTTGCATTCGTCGTGTTGTAGTTACGATCCACATTACAAGAGAATTTCCAGCGATCGCCATCACGGATATACTTCCGTAACAAATACTGAGTAAGACCGTCACACTCGTCGGTACTTCGTATAGGTCTTCTAAAAACGAATAAATCAACAATTATCACAAGTATGATAACTATCTCTAATATGGAACACCTGATTTTAAAAGCTTGTCAAACACAGTGATATATGTCTTTTTTTTCTTCTTGTTGTTTTTTGTTGTTCAGTTAAACTCGCGTTAAAATATGAAAAATTAATAAATTTTCTTATGTTAATAGTTAACTTTGTTTAAGTATCTTGAAATTATGATAAAAAGAAATGTTAAATGATAAATTATGCATAGGTAAGATTTACAAACTTACTTCCATTTAAAAATAGGAAAAAAACTGCTTAACTTGCCTGCTAAAAACTTTTTAAACATCGTCCAATGCAATTATGATTTGTTTTTAATGACAGACTTTTAAAAAAGTTCAAACGTTAATACGATCGTTTTCTATTACAAAAAAAAAAACAAATAAAATATATTCGCATGGTTATTGATAATAATTTATTATTTTTATTTGCTAAGATATTACGGTTATCCATATTACGTGATGTTTCATATTGAAGACAGTTATTCTATAGAATTTGTTGGGATTATTATATGATATAGGAGCAAGATATTATTCCTTTTTCAGTTCTTCGTTTAATTTCTTTTTGTCCGAAGTGTATTATTATTGGACGGAAATCGTTTAAATATTATATTTTATGTTGTTATTTATATATTTTTAAGACGAATGATTTATATTATGAGAACTTTATGATGAAGAAGGAATAATTATTTTTGTTAATAAAAAAATCGTTTGATGTGTTTTCTCACGTGAACGAGAAACATCTAGTAAATAAAGTTAAATAAAATATTAATTGTCGGAATCATTGTGTGATTTCTTTCCATAATCACAATAGAGTTAAATACAAATTTACTATTCGAGTATTAATTATAATTAATTAGTTTAATCTTTTACGAGCAAGTTTATTTCTATCCTGAATTGTGTAATTTCTATGAAAATTTTACCTGATTCGTAATCCTATCCTCTATGAATACATGATTTTACTCAAAGTAGTATATATATTTTCGTTATTCAAAGTGATTCAATATCATTCGTTCGTAAGAAGCTTAGGGGGATTTATATATACCTATGCTTTATTCCTCTGTCCCTTTTTATGGACCCTTTCACCAAAGATGCGTGCCAGCTCCTTTCGACTTAAACGGATTTTGAGTACCTTTGGAGTGTCGTGAGCATATGTCAAATTTCAACTTAAATAATAACGTCGTTTATCTTAAATCTGACTAATACAAATGAACAATATATGTAAATTTCAATACATGTAAGTTTTAATGAACGTGATTCTGTTATTTAAATAAAAATCAAAAAATATGTGTTCTTTTTCGGTGCGTTTTAATATTAAACAAAGAAAAAAAGTGCTAAGATTCGATGGAAAACTTGTGCATGTTTATTTTGAATCGAACAAAGGGATGCATTCACCCGATGCAAAATAATACAAATCCTGACATAAGTATATCTCGTCTGCTATTAAAGAATCAAATATAACCTGATAGAACCGAAACATCTGTTCTCGGTGATGAACCTTAAGAATAAAAAAAATTGTTGGTATTTTCCCCCGCTGCGTTTGAAGTTTACTTCTTGAAATATATCGCGTGGAATTTTATGAAAACTTAGAAAATCGTATTCTATAAAGAAGATGCCTTTAAATAAACAAAGGCTTTACGTTATTCTGTCGGTTTATTTTCATTTTATTTTACGAAGAAAATTATGTTTTAAATTCGTACCATCGTCTTCGCCGTAGGATTCATTTTTGTTCATCCAATAGGAAGTATTCAATGTGGACGACCATGTCCCAGGATCTTTATACGTTGTCCACGAAGCGTTCATTCTGCAAATTCGCGTATTCTAAAACATAGATTTTCATTTTCCTATTTAATAAATCTCAACAGTAAGTCATAAAGGTATTCGTACCTGTACCTACTGTCAATTAGAAATAATTCATATTTTTTCCTAATAAAAGAACATCTCGTCTATGTTTAACCAAAAGTCACTAATTAATATTTATGCTAATCTGAGTTATTGCTCGTCAAACAAATTTTTTATGGGAAAAAGTTAAAATATTTCTTTCTCCTCCCATTCTTCTCTCCCTCTCTCCTTTACTCTCTGTTTTTTTTTTTCATGAGAGATTGAAAAGAGTTTTGTAACTTTTTGTAATCTTATTTAAACATTGAAAGTAACTTACAATTAGTTGATTTAAATTGTTTCAACGAATTCAAGCTTCCAATTTTTTTCATTCGCATAAATAGGAATTTAACATATATTATAGTTTTACATTATTATATGTAAATTAGTAAAGAATTTGATATTTCAACGTTATTGGAGATAGAAATGTGTTATATTTATGTGTGTAGGTATTAATACGCACATGTATTATTCTCTGAGGTATCTATAGTCATTTTCACGAGTATTGAGTAGCATAATAGAGCTGTGTCGTCAATATAGCCATATATAGTAATTACTTAGAAGCACCAGTGTGTCTACTATCTTCACCTAAGAGCTAACGGGAAACTCAATCTGAAAGCGTTCAATGCATATTCCCTTGTGAGTAGTTGCTTGTTCAAAGGTTAGCTAGGATTCTACATCTGCATGATGTTCACTCAATTCCGAATGTACTGTTTTCGAATAAATCGATCTTAGACATTTTTTATAAATATATATATATCGATATTGCAAACTCATAATGTTTATTTTACTGAATGATTTTTATGTTTATCAATGGATAGATACATCGTTTGATCTTTTTCATTTTGAATTACAAATTATGATGCTTCTGATTATATTTACGACGTGTAATGTAATTATATTAGCGTTTCAGGTAGGTACATTGTAGTGTAGATATTAAATTGCTCCTATGCTTTATCGTAATATTTATAAGTATCCTTTGAGGTAGTTAATTACTATCTTAATTTATGTTTTGATTGTGTAACAGTTTACTTTCCCTCAATATATTCTAAACACGAGACAACGTTGTAGACTTTGTCTACTAGTAACGTTTAAAATTCTTTATTTACGAGTTTAAAAGCAGATTTTTATTATTTTTTAAGTGACGGATTACGAAATAAGAAAGGATTGTTGTTAAAAATTTCAAAGTAAGGTTGGAAGTTCTCCAGTGGAACAAAATAGAACGTAAAATTGTATAAAAATTCCGACGTTTAACCCTTTTGCACTCGAAGTTTTTTTTTTTTTTTATTCATTCATATTACCAACAACTCGAAACAATTTTAATAGAAGAACAAACATGCATATTCGTTTTAAAATAAATACATTTTGTAAGAAATATACGTGGATTCTTTATACGTCGTTTCTTTATTTTTTGTTGTTGGTTAAATTTTGGTTCATCTTTGAAAAGTGGCTGTTGGTAACGAAAAAAGTTAGAAAGATCGATCATTTTAACAAGATATATATGGAGGAATGGAAGGGTTTATGCGTTGAAACGTGAAGCGTTAACGGGAGATTTAACGACAATGTCTCGTTACCTCAATGCTTCCTTGGTTTCGCGTGTGCACTTTATGCGCGATAACTTGATTACAACATCAATTGAAGGATGCTACGCTTGTATATATTAACCACCTTCCTATAACATGGTTTACCCCAACCGTACTTACGAAAACTTCAGAAAAGTTTGTTAGATAAAATTCAATAGTTTTCCTTGATATTATAACACTTATAAGAAAAAAGTTATTTATCATAAATTTTTCAAGTTCCTGACGATAAACAAATAGATTCTTACGCGTATTTTCTTATTTTTCATTCAATATTGTCTATTATTAGAAATCTTGAAGATCGTGCAGAAATTTAATTGACGATTACGATTAGCAATGGTATCTATACAATTTTATCTGTTTCATCTTAATTAATGTTCTGCTCAACACCTGTCGATATCGATTTAAGAGATAGCCATACTTAAACTGCATAGAACACAATTATTAACACTAGATATATACCTATTTTAATCTGAAATGAGTTTATTTAACTGACACCAATCTGCGGCTCGTTTGATTTCGGATAATAGACGTTATGCGGTGTATGCCCCTGCGAAGGAAAAACTTTCAGTATCACCGATTTAAGAGACATTATTATCCTTACAACTTCTTTATTCTGTTCTATCATATTTTCTTTATTTCTTTCTTTCTTTTTTTTTTTTTTTTGCGAGGAAATAAACGAGAGGAGGAGCATCCGAGCCGAAGAATCCACCGTGCGAGTAAACATTTGCGATATATTAGTGGTACGACCTATACAGTCGGTGAAATAATCGTAGATATATGAAAGGCAATATAGATTTAGCGCGTATGTACGAATACCTTTTGTAATTGTTTGCACGGGCAACATTGCGCACTTGATCAAAAGCTCCAATCTTCAAGTTGTTTCAATGATTTTTCTACGGAATCTTTTTCCAACGAAATATTTTTCACAAATGTTCCTTTTTTTTTTTTTCATCTACTTAGAGAAAAGAAAAAAATGTAATCACACATAGCATAGAAAGAATCCAAATATTTAATTGTAATAATCGTTGAAGTTTCATATTATTTTTTTTAAATATTTGATGAACCCTTCTGCGTCACCGTTTAAATTCTCGAGAAAATCACGTAACTTCTCGAATATATATTTTTAAAAATAAAATCTCTTTTAATTAATCAAATAATTATTTGTTAGTTCATAAATGAAATTTAAAAAAGATTTACTTTAATTATAATAATACTATGAGATATTAAGATAATTATAAAAAAAAAAAAGAAAAAACAATTGTTTGCGTAAGAGAGTTATGTAATTTCAATAGAGCAAATTTTAATTGGAAAATTTTCGAGCTAATGATTTAGATCTATAAAACATTTATTTATACCTATCCTTTAAAATATTATTCGATTGAACAAAGTTAAACGTGGCAATGCTGTTAATGAAGCATACGCCCTTAATTATAACTTAGTAGTCCTTTCATAAGAAAGTTTTGAGCTTGATTAACAATAAAATATAATTTTTAACATCGATTTAATATTCTTGTAAGCGCCGTAGCTTTATTTAACTCGTGGAGATATTATATATGACAGACGTTATCGTTGCTTTATTACAAACAAAATGTCGTGCTCTTTCTCATTCTCTTTTTCTTTGATAAAGTAGAACATCGTAGCTTTTATCCCACAAATGAAACTCATATTATAGTTTAGTTTACAACGAGTATTTCATAGACTATCCTTTTTCTCCTTTGACCAAGAAGATCTGTAAATATAAAGGGCTAAAAATACGATATTTTATTTGTAAGCTAGATCCGATGATAAAGTCGCTTATGTATGTACGTGTGCATATTCTAACACAGTTTATACTAATTCGTAAGTTTCATTTCAACGTAGTAGTATATAGATCTACAGAATGATAATCTCTCTGGGTAGTAGGATTTTATTTTTATATAACGAGAACATTTCTTATAAATATATTTCGCGTTGATATGATTGATTAAAAAAAAAAAGTTGTCTTTTAATCGATCGCATTGAAATAATTAAAATGAACATCGCATGAATATCGTAAATGGATTTTTTTTTTCTTTTTTGAAAAGAACTTCACTTATTTCACGCACGTTTAAATCCTAATGTAATTTTGAATATGCTTTTAATCTTACTTATTGTTGGATATACCTATGTATTTTGAATGTAGGTATTATCAATCATCGAAAAATAAGTGACACGTTACAGGGAATTCATGTTAGTGATCTGAGATATATAGGATGTATGTGTATAGAGAAATAAATCGTTGGAAATATCTGCTTACGACAAACCATCAATTATCGAGTGGGTTTCGGTGACAAGTATTATTTATGATCGTTTTCACATAATCCTTTTTTTTTTTTTATAATATACAATTGGAATGAAAAATTAACGAAATCGAAATATTTCTGATCGTTTTCGTAAAATCCTTTGTTTTATCAGTTGTTTACGACGGGGAAAATAAATATAATTTGGTTTTTAAGAAATTCGATCAATTTCATTCGTTCTTAAGTGCTTCAGAACAATCCTATTTTTTTGTTGCCCTTCCTCTTTGATTTATTTCGTTTAGTTTATAAAACTTGTAATCGATTTACATTCGATTGACGTATGTGAAATATTAAAACGTATAGAATTTATAACACTTATACGACAAATAATAACGAAGGAACGAACGATAGCCATGTATCTATCCTATTTCTTTATTTTTATAGTTATTTTTGTTTAATATTTTGAGTTAAGCACGAAATATTTTATTTATTACAAACTAAGGATATCCATCTCTAATAATATATATATTAAATAATAAAATTTATTTTTAAAAATAAAATTGTTAAAAATTGTACGATATAACAATTAAAAATAAAACAAAATATAAATATAAAAAAAAAGGTGGAATAAAATTGGATAAAAATTGTTCCAACGATTGCGAAACTCATGGGAGAGTTTATTGTTCTATTCTATTTATATATGATCGAACTAGATATATTAATAGAATCGATATACACAGCAGTATCTTTTCTATTTCGAACAAGATTCCCTATTATAAGTTATAGACATCGTTGAGTCTTTGCAAGTTTATGCTTTAAGTGCGATAGTTTGTTTCGGAGCCAAGAAATTTCGTGAACTAGCAACGTGTAAGTGTGTCATAATTATATATATATATATTATGAAGGATTTTATAGTACAATAGTGAAAATTTATGACCGTATGTTATTTTATCTAGTTAAATTGATTTCGGTATTAAAAATCGTCATTTTAGAAAGACAGTTGTCAAAAGAAACAAAAAAATTAAGTTCATTGAAATGTAATATGTTATATCGGAAATGTATCAAACATGTTTTGGTTACGAAATCGTTCTGTGTAAATCGGATTCAATTAAAATATTTAAATAATATTAAATTTGAATAAGTAAGAAAAATATTATTCAAAAACGTCTGAAAATAAAATTTCTAAAATGAGATTATTATTTGCTAGAGAATGTTGTTAAAAATTCTTCTCTGTCATAGGGTTAATTAATTTTAATGAGATGTCTAATAGGATTATTAATCGAACATAGAAATTGTTGTACGAACGTAGGTATATACGTATAAATACGTTATAAGCTCCCAAAGTGGAGTTTATGCTTACTCGAATGATTTGTTTTTTGAAAATAGACAATTAGCAACAATATGCAACGTATTTATTGAATTTACATTAAAATTCCCTCTCTCTCTCTCTCTCTCTCTCTCTCTCTCTCTATCTATCTATCTATCTATCTATCTCTCCTATGGAATATCTCTTTAAACAATACAAGTGATGAATAAAAAGTTTGATTTTAGAAATAAAGATTTTGGAATTTGGTTTTTTTTTATTTACACGCTAATTTATATCGATGTTTATTTCGAAGTCGATCGTCTGTCTGTCGGTACACGAGTGGCAAGTATTGGAAAAGAAATGTTTATACCATTTCATCCGAAGGCGTCGATATATATCTAGTAAATGTTATCGTTAAATTTGTTTTTAGAAGTAGGAGCCTCGTTAAACTCGTCTCAAATTTGCAAACAGATACATCCCCATTCGAATTTGATAGTTATTATCGTGTTAATAGTTAACAAATTATTTCCTTTTTTTATTTTTTCTTTTTATAGTTATAAAAAAAAAAATGCATTATAAAATCAATTACTCTAGATTAAAAAGAAAAAAAAGAAACAATTGACGTATCGTACAAGCAGAATGAAACAACGATCAAACGACGAGATTGAAGTATATTTAATTTCCTGTAGTAGAAAGCGGAGTAGCTAAAATAATTATACGACAATCGTGATAATAAATTGTAGTTAAAAAGTTTAGTAAAAAAAAAAAAGATGTTAACTGATTCACAACCGCGATCTTTACAAAATTTGTATCTTATGTTATTGTTCTTACAGATAAATATCTACGAATAGATAGAATATTTTATCGATCTAAAGTTAGAAAAAAATATAATTGGAATGTTACTCACACAATGAAATATTAATCAGAAATTGATTGGTATGTTCGTTTGGAATTCACATAATTGTCTTTAAGTTTGACACGAGTGTATTATTACATATACGAAGTTTCTCCTTAATTATTTGCATATTCTCGAACAAGCGAGACACGGTGCCTCACTTTTGTTGGATGTTGTTAGGATAATTTCTTTTACATACCGAGTCTATTGTGAACCAAAATAGGCATATTTTTTTCTTTTTTCAAAACAATTACTTCCAATTCAAGCTTCAATAAATCAAACGAATACGAGAGAAGAATATCACGTGTAATCGCATCCATAATAATAAAAATATCGATATCCTATTATAGATTACAAGGATAATATAGAATAATTATTTCATTAAAACTCACCCAAGTAACTTCTTTTTGATAATCGATAAACCTTGTCACCGATGATGATTCACTTTTCTCTCGTTCGATTTCCAATACGATAATAATTAAATTTTTGGATCGATGACGGACGATATTAACGAAGACGATGACAGGTGTCTGACACGAATGTAATACATTTCTTTCAAATCAAATTAAATCTATCTCCGAAATAATTAACAACACCTTCCTTCGCATTTTCATCGATCCTTTCGTAAGATCGATCAATTATTTGACGATTATTGAAACAAAAGTCTTTGCCGTTCCATTGAGGGTGGATCGAGAAATTGTCGAAAGAGCGATTTGTTAGATACATCGTTCATATTGTTTACAATAAATTATCCTTGTTCGTAAAATAATTTTTAAATAATTCTCGATCTTTGATATCTCGCGTTCTTCTTATTGTTTCACCTCGATGTCTATCTTTAACACACAAACTTTGTACTTTATATACGAAAACGTTCACAACTTTTTCAACAATTATTTTTATCTTGCATCTTTCCTATAAGAGAATAAAATGAATTCTATTTCATACACAATTAAACACACTTTTATGCAGCACAGAAAATCCTTCCGCCATTATATTATCACTCCGGATTTTCTTTTTATTATTATTTTAAATATATATATTATTATTGTGAATAAAAGAGAGAGAAATAAGACCAACAATTTATCTCACGTTTGAGAATATTAGAATAATAGAAAAGAAATATAATGATTAAGGATAGATAAGAGGAAAGTGAGAGAGTAAGAGGATAATTTATCGTGCACGTTTTACACACGTGTGCGTTTGTCGAAGCGTCCCAAGCAAGTGGGGCTCGTTTAGTGCTGACTACCGTCTCTGGGACGATAACCAGAGTAGTGGGAATCATGTACCAGGTGGGGGAGGGGTGGAGGGTGGGTGGGGAGTTGAGGTGTCAAAGGGTAGGGAAATAATAATCTCGGTTCGATACGTTTGTTTCTGTCAAAAGTAATACTTTCTATGTATAATAAATAAATCAGCATTATTTTTGCTTTTATTTTCCTTTTTTTTATCGACCATATTTAAAAATATATCATATATATATATATATATGTTACCGTCATAGCTGGAAATCCGCCATTACTAATAATTCCTCGTCATTCTTATCAATGCAAAGAGCATTCCGATGAACTCGGAAACAGAAGAATTCTTACAGTTTTTCCTAAGTATTGAACATAATACTTTGATATTTTATATATACTATTTAAACAACGTTGAAGAGAATACATTCTCGGGCACAGACACACACAGCCATACGCAACCCCTCCCCCCAAATGACTTTCCAAAGAAATATCAGAGAATGCAATGCTGTAAATTGTGCATCTTTGCAATTTCTTTGAAAAGTTTTGGCCAATATTTTTTATACTAAAAGTGAATAGATTTTAATGAAACTTATATTAAATTAAAGTGCACACTTTTGTCTACGCGTAGAATACCATATCGAGTTATAAATCAATCTAAAAAGGTTCATAAAATGGCAAATAATGCGATGCTGCAAATTTTTCCTACTTTGTCATTTCTTTGAAAAGTTTCGGCAAATATTTTTTATACTTTTTTTTACAAAATTAGGGTCGGTTAATCGTTAAGAATACTTTCGAAAGGCAACGACGAAGTAATGTCATGTACTTCGACACTTTCGATGCTAATTATTTGTATCGATACTGTCCGCCAATTTCACACCTTTACAACCTTTTTTGCGATGCGAAAAATCAGAGTGCAAGCGGTCATTTAGCATCATCCTACTGATTTTATTTGTAATTGTTGTCCCGTATTACGGAGTCAGAAATAGAACTCAAAAAGATGCGTTTCCCTATCGGGATAAAAGAAAAATGAATTTTTGTTGGCTTAGCGTGACGAAAAAGAATTCGAACTCGCGTGAAATTATTATTGACGCAAAAGATTTTTTCGCGACACGCTTTACAGAACGAATATGCTTTTTATTTTCTTTTCTTTTTTTTGGTATTATAATTTAATACGCAGCCAATAAAAAATCATTTCTTTACAAGCTTAGACACTTTGTCGCCAGTGACGTAAGATCCGGAAAACGCATGTGACTTTACTTTAGTTATTACTAGTCTAACGCGTGAGTTGATATTTTTGTAAATAGTCTCTCTCTCTCTCTCTCTCTCTCTYTCTCTCTCTCTCTCTCTCTCTCTCTCTCTCTCTCTCTCTCTCTATCTCTCTGTCTTCTCTTATTTTCCACAGATTATACTATTTTATGAATACGTTTTATTATACTTTAATTATCTTAATTCTCTTTTCTTCTATTTTGTTGTTGTCGTTGTTGTTTGGAATAAAAGGAAAACAGCATATGTAGAAAAAAGAGAATAAATGAAATAAATATTAAATTAAATGCAAACGAATGTATTTTTTTGTTCTCTGTATCTTCGTTGCAGTAAAGTAAATATTGTAGAATGTATTATAACAAATAATTTTCGCTTTAGTTTATTTGATATTGATCTTGTTACGAATGCATTTGCAGAATATATGATATAGAAAGAAAAATTGATTTATCCGGGAAAAAAAATAAATACAATTTAAAAAAAAACGAAAATACAATTACACGCAATATGATATAGTGTTGCATTTAATTAATTTGTTCGCAATGTAAACGTAAAAGACAAATTATTTTAATGGAAAGATCGTTTTGTTATCAATATGATTTTTTTTTTCTTTTTTTAATTGATACTATATTTTTTAATTCGGTAGAAGAGAAATGAATAGAAATAGAATATTTAAATAAAAAATCCTCCTTCCTTGTCAATAGAAGAAAGTTTCATTACGGTAGTAGTGCAAAAAAGAAAACGCGAACTTCTTCGATGTATGTTGGATTGCAGTTCTACAGGCGTTCGAGGTATTTAGTCGTGATTAAGAATTGCTGTAAAAAAGAAAGAAAAAACAAAAAAAAACCATAAAACGAAATTGCCATGATGATCGGAAATATCATATAGAAATTGTTCGTAAACGATTTGAATATTATTTTGATGTAATTTTCTTTTTCTCGTTTTTTTTCCTATTTGTTTACATTTGCTCTTCTTTTTCTTATATCTCTTACTTGTCCGATCTTTGTTTTGTGAAAAGTATACGAAAGTTGATGATATTTCACGGTAAAATGTTTGCTGATATGACACGCTTATCCGAGATTTAATCTTTTCTCATTGAATAGTCAAGTCGAGTTTGACTACAAAGCGAATTTACGATATCTTGCATATATCATTTCTAACTTTTTAGATAAGAACTATGAAAAGTTTCCTATTTGAAAATTTCAAATTGATGGACGTTTAAGCTTAATTTCTCACCAATTAGCATGGCGTAACAAAGTAATAATAATATGTTAATGTTACATGAAATCTCGTTTATTCTGTTTAGTTTTGACGATTTAATTCGTAATTAATATGACAAGTCAATCAATGAAGTTTATCAATTAATATCGCTTCCATATTCATGCAATCTATCCGAATTTTCGGTTCATCGATGATATTGATCATTCATTCGTGTATACAATAATTAATGCGTCCAGATATGATGTTTCGCGAGAGTTTCCTAATCATTGGAATGGTAACGAGAATTCTTTCAAGCTAACAAAATAATCTTTAACTTGTGAAAAGAAAAGAACAAAAGAGTTAACAAGTGTCACGCCCAAATACGTGTTTCTTTTTCTCCGTTATCTGTTAAAACACATAGAAAGCGCGGTCTTTCGTAATTTGTCGAGTGTATAAGTCTAATTAATGTTTATCGGAAGGATCAACAATATGGCACGTACCATACATTAAAATCAATAAAATGAGGGTTTCGATCATCAATATTCATATCAATATTCATACCTATGTTTAAAGATCGATTAAAATGTTATTAAAGCTGAAATGTTTCATTGAAACATCAAATATTCGAATTATAGTTCCATACATTCCTTTGGAAGTTTAATAATTTATCCAATGTTTTATTTTTTAACCCTTTGCACTCCTAAATATATTTCAATTTTTTTACCAGCAGTTCGTCAACGTTTTTAAATGTTATCTTCGAAATTTATTTTAACTAAAAAAAAAATAAGGCAAATCAGTTTGATAAGAGTAAAAAATAACGTCGAGTAGGACTCGAAAAATGAGCTCACGAAATAAAAACTAATCGACATGGGGGGAGGGGGTGCAAAGGGTTAATAAAAACAATCGATCGTATGTCGAATAAGTATTAACCAAGCGGATACAAGAACAATTAAAGTTTGAAACAAGCTATTTTCCATACGATGCATAATGTATTGCTTATTGGTATTCCAAAACTTATTTATTCAAGCATATAAGAGAGAGAGAAAGAGAAACAAATTCGATTCCTGATAGAGAGAGAATGATTTCACGCAAAGTGTGTGTGTGTGTGTGTGTGTGTGTATGTGTGTGTAGATAACGATATAAAAGTTAAATTATTTATAGAATAATATAAAATCGAACAATATTATACAGATATATATTTCGTAAAATAAAATGTATACGAATTAATGACAATAAATATTTGTATAAATCGTTGAAATAAAATATGAAAACGTGTATATCTTATGCGTGATGAGATTGACAAATGACAAATGAAAAAAATGACGAATATAATCTAAACGTAAACTCATCATCTTTCGTTAGGAAAGATCTTGAACTACTTAGAAGAAATTGATACGACTTGACGGAAAATGTGATGGGAGAAGACTAATTTAGCGTCCTCCATCGTTTCATCGGTGACGCAGTCAAAACTGAAGGATATTACTGCGTTTAACTTACCTAGATGTATACGTGTATGCATAGGACGCAGTTGTGCGGTTAATGTGTGCACTTAAACGCATAAATGCGTAGACAGGAGGAAGGAAACGTCAACGTAACTCCATTTCCCACAGGTAGACGTACCTCCACGCCTCTTAACAGGCGTGTCGCGTAGAAAGCCAAGCGATTCTCAGTCTGCGGCCTTGTCAACGGCGGTTCCTTGCTTCAGATCCAACTTCAAACACGTACTCCATGTATTTCCGTTCGGAAAAAAGGAATCTAAGGGAGGGGAGTTGATGGTTAAAACACATATATAGAAGGATCATCGCGATGTCATTCGTACAGATTGTTCCGACGGGTCACGTTTTTCCCTAGTCTTCTTTACTTCAAATTCAACCCTTTTTCTTCTTCTTCTTCTTGTAAAATGAAGTTACTTTTACTTGTAAGTTCCTTTTTTATTTATTCTACGTTCCTTTTTTTTTTTTTATATATACGTTGATCGTTTACGAAAATCATGATTTAATTATTGATCGAATTATTTTGAAATAAATGAGCCTGTTTATATTGAAACTGCTGGCTTAAGTTTATTTGTCAGTTGTTTGTTGATGACTGTAGTAACATGTGTACTATTCGGAGTTAGTTGTCGTAAAATATATTTTGGGGAAAAAAAAACAAAATGGATTTATGTCACTTTTAAAATAGACAGCTCAGATATTTGCGATATATTTTTTATTAAATTTTTTTATTTTAATTGTACGATTCTTATATGTTGTGATTTAAAATCGTTCGAGCGAGTAATGAAATTTTCTATGAAAAGGAATATAGTTTGGTTGACAAAGGAATAATAATGATTAGTCAAAGAATTCGACTCGTTGGTGCATTTTGAATTTTGAATTTTCCTATTTTTTTTTTTTTTTTAACATTCCGTTTCCATAAAATAATAATATTGATAATGATTACGTTAAACACAGTGCATTGATAAAATTATCTTCGAAGTCATGTACACATGTGTAAAGTGTGACAGAAAAAAAAAAAGAAGAGAATTGATTCTCATTATCTAAAAAAGTAAACATTATCTCTCAAATGAATATTTGTCATATCGAAAATAGAAAGTTGTTCAAAGATAACTTAACTCTTTGACGGGGATTGCTGATAGATAAAATAATTCTCTCCTTTTTTTCCAATGTATGTATCATTTTTTTTTTGTTTTAAATATAATTAATTCATATTAATTTATATATTCAGTTTCTTTGTGAAAAAGCGTCGTAAAAAAAGTTCCTCAAATTTATAAAAGCGATATAAGCGATATAAAGGCAATATTAATTTATATTATATTAATTGAAAAAAAAAAAAAAACCAATCGAATATTTTTAGAAATTCATTCTAATTTAGATTTATTTCTCATTCTCTTAAGTCATTTTTCGAGTTACTCGCGTGTTAAGAATTATTATCGTATCTCCTTTTTGTTTTGTACCGTTGAAAATTGTCGTGCGTGTATTATTGCGTCGGTGCTTGACACTGATGGCATATAGGTACGTAATAAACAAGGTAATTACATTTCATTTTTGTTCTCTTGTCAAGAAAGATATATATATATATACATATGTACATACAAGTAATAATCATGCGACTGTGATTACTTGTGGGTTCACGATACGTTATTCGATTGTCTTACAATATTCTAAAATGTGAATTAATTATCTTTGTATTTGTAGATAATATATCTCGCTGGATTGGTCGTGTTATGTAACAGTGCTATAGAATATTCGAATCCAAAGTTATTGACAAAACTTTCTCCCGTAAATGATGCGAGTACTACTAAGGACTTGGACACAGCAGCAAGTGATCGGAGTAAGTTATATATAATAATAATAATAATAATATATTGTACTCTTTATCCATATTTCGTGTCAGAGTTTCGTTGTCATTATATTTGTGAATGGAATATTATTACGATTTATAGATAATTCGAAAGGAAATTTAGTCATTTATTTATTAATTTATTATTTTCATATATCCATATAAAATATTCTTCTCAGTAATGTAATTAATTAAAAGGATGATATTAGCCCGGCTCCAGATTAATATTATACCAATATTGATAAAAGGATTGTGTTATATCGACTAAAAAGTATGCTAGAAAAATCCTTTGAAATCGAATGATTCATTGCACGCTTGTTGATGATTTAATTCTAAGATTAGACAAATGAGCAAACCGAATGCGTCCATTAGATTTACGCATAACGTTACATACCAGAAGACCTTCGGCAAGCATGTTACATTACCATCCCATTATCTAGAATATACGGTATTTTTTTTATTTACTATAATAACCGTTCGACGTGTCTTAGAGCGTGGGAACGTTAACGACACAGATCTTTAACATTCGCACAGCAAACACATTTCTATTTACACATACGAGTATAATATTTGAAACAATAGCAGAAATTTATTATACTCATCGAAGTTCGCACGATTGAACGTTGATTTTCTTGAAAACATCTTCTTCGGTTCGCATCAAACATTTTTCTTTAAAGTCGTTGATTAGGTTATCGATGAATTTCAACACTTTGCATTATTATTTTTTTTCTGTTATATTTATTATAATTTTTTTTCTTCAATTTTTTGTGATTCGTAATAATGCTTTTAAGAAAGGAACATTAATTAATGCGATTATCAGAACAATCGATGATCTGAAAAAATCATAGACGAATTTCCGTCATAAATATACAATTAAATACGAATTTTAGTAAGTTAAATGTTTTATATGAAATATATTCCATAATATATTTCAGAAAATTTGTCGTCCCGGTAATGAATCATTATGTGGATCAAATTATAAATAATTAAAATAGGAAAAGAAAAAACTCTCTATATGAATTTGAATATATACTCGCGTAAAGACTTTTAAATGAGATTCCTGTGAATATTCGGTGCGATATGATTTTCTCGCTGAATTCGGGAATTCAATGAATATAATATATAATCGGAGAAAAAGGGATTTATCACATTTTTCATTCTTTTAAACATTTTCTAAAATAAGTTTCTATCATAATTTTTATGTTGCTTATTGCCAAATAATTATCTTCAGTATATACTTTATTTCGATTGTAGCGTTTTTAATTGGTAAAGAGTATGGTCAGCCAGGATATGGAGGATATGGAAATTACCCTGGATCTATATACGGATCAGGATATCGTGGTACAGGTGTAATACCAGGATATAGAGGCTATCCAATTGGTAGCCCAGGGGGTATCATTGGTGGTGGTGGACACTCTGGGTAAACATAGAAAAATCGTCCATTACTTCTTATAATTATTTCATTAATTTTTTCAATCGTTTCTCTTATTTAATACGTAAATTAATGTTTTTTTTTGTTGCTAATTTTTGTTATAGCCTAATTTGAGAATATGTTTATTTATAGATACGGGTATTACGGGAATAGTGGATATAATCCTTATTATAATTATGGTGGATATGGTGGATACGGTGGATATGGTGGTTCTGGTGGATACAATGGGTATGGAAGTATTGGTGGATATGGAACCTTAGGAATAGGAAATTATGATGATTCTTATCTTGGATATGCTGGTAATGGTCGTTACGGTGGTCAAGGTCTTGATGGATATGGAGGTTACGGCTCAAGTGGTTATGGTGGATCTTATGGTTCTACATATGGAATTAGAAACAATTATGATCCTTATGGTTATCGTAGTAACAGTTACGGTAGTTATGCTGGCTACCCTTCTGGATATAGGGGTTACTCTTAAAAATTGTATGAATTTAGTATACAATATATGTATAAAACTAATACATAAAATTGTTAGTTATTTTTTTCTATGTATTTTATAACACACTGTAATGATATTAAAATATTCAAAGCGTTTCTTTATCATGATAATGTTCCGTATATTTGAATAATAATTGCATACATATAATTAACAAACGATTCACGGTAAATATTAACATGAAATACAAATACGAAATGAGAAATATTTAATAAAAAGAAATAAAAGTATTAGCGACGATAACACAATAATTATGTCATAATATCAAATGTAATATATTTGTGTATTTAATAAATTTGTTGTATCTAATTGTGAAATTTTTATTAAAATATCAATTCAATTGAAACCTGTCTTTTTTTTTTTTTTTTTTAATATATATATATATAAATAACTAAATCTAAAATTATAAATAACGTTGTTTCACACGCATATATGTATATTAATTAATGTTCGTTAATCAACATGCATTTGCATACATGTCTAAAAATATGATCAAGCGCACTGAATACATGCATGACTGAAATTGTATATGGCTTGCGGAATAACTTCATTATCGTGTATTATTTTAAAACGTTCAACAAAAAAATAGTCCGTAGAGCAAAGTTTGTATTTAAGCATTGTATTCATTAGATGTGATTATTGTAAAATATTCAAGACAAAAAGTAATTGCCAAAAAGATTGTCAACTTGAGAAAAATATTTTAATCTACAAACGACTTACATGTTTCTTGATGTTCCATGCACGAATAATCATAGTCAGTCGTTGAATGTATAAATATGTACATGAGTTGATCAGTCGACATGCATTCTTAAAGATTCTTGCACATGAAGCCATGTTTAAGTTTCAATACCATCAAATCGATCATTTATTAGCTGACCTGCAGCTGGCGAATGGGCAATTTCAATATCCCATATTTCATTTTTTTACAGGAGGCGGAATATTTCTTTCTTATCCCCGGTAAAAAAAAAAAACAATATTATTTTGTTGTGTTATCATTAGTTAGATATAATTTTACTAGATCCTTCATACTATTTTCCTGCTTCTGATTTTTCTCCTTTCAGGTACGGCTTTGACTGGAACATTTAAAAATCCAAGATTGGCCTGACTCAAAATATCCTTTAAATTTTCAATATTATTAAGCTGATCCAAGCCAATAAGCTTTGTTTCGATATTTCCACCCGATGTGTTACATGCGTTGCATGCGTATGGAACGGATGCTGCTGAGGGATACATGAGTTTTATTTTATAATTATTTGCTTTGTTATCGGGACAATACGGTACGAAAATCACCGGGATGAATCCAAGCTGACCAATGAGAGGAGTGCTTGCTGTACTACTAATGATATCGTGTTCCTTATACGAATCAACTAAATAACAAGGACAAGCTTGTGGATTTGGTTCTACTGATGATGAAAATGATTTAATATTAATTGGATGTGGTGGTTGAACTCCTGTCGCAGTGATACTATGATCCGCACGTTCTCCTTCGGACGACGTATTTACCTGTTTTATGAGTTCAACAGTTCGTTCTTCGGGGGAATCAATATTTTCACCTCTTCCGTTTTCCTCGTGTTTATCGAATTTCGTATGCACTATAAGTCGACTCCCTTGATGGTCTATTTTATAAGGTTGATTTTGTGGACCTTCAATAATGTCTTGAAATTCATAAGAATGATTGGCAAGATACTGAAATTCTTTTCGATAATGTTTCTGATGATTAACAGGAACTTGTTCAAAATTAGCTTCTGGTTCTTCGTCTAGGCTAGTATCCTCTGTTACCTCGTATCGACTATTTTCTTTATTTTCAGTTCTTAATCCGTAAGGCTTAACATTTGTATCAGTAGTTTCATGTTTTTCTAAATTATCCGTCTTATTTTTTGAAAAGGTGTATTTTAAATGATCTGACGTTTTCAATGTATCATGCATTAATGAATTAATTGCTTTCGCATTATGGTTGATATTTTCTTGATAAATATCAAATTCGTTAAAATGTTCATACTTTTGCATTTTAAATCTGCTGTGATCAATATCAACGATTTCGCTTACTTTGATAGGAGATGAAATTTCTGACAATTCACCGTTATTTATCGCACCGGTAAAATTGGAGTTTGATTTTATAAATGATTTTAAATTCATTTGTCTTGGAAAACTAGTTTTTATCGATAGATTAGTATTAACGGGTGTATAAGATTTCAGGCTTAAAATTTTCACAGGATTACGATATCGCGATTGTTCGGGAGGAATTGTATCTGGGTAATATTTTGGATCACCAGGCCAAGGCCCATCAGGTCCTGGAGATCCAGTTGGCCATGGACCATTAGGGCCTGGTTCACCTTCACCACCGACATCTCCAATACCACCTATATCACCAATGGGTCCTGTTGGACCAACAGGGCCCTCGGGTCCATTGGGATAAGAAGGATATCCACCACGAATTGGATGACCTACAAAAATATATGAAAATTCATAAGATTTTACTTTATTTAATCTGAAAATAAATATACGTCATTATGATTTTTACTTTCGATTAATATAATCTAATCAAAACTATAAACATAAATGTGAATCTTAATGAATTCAATAATTTCAGAAACAATCTATAAACCTAGGTTTCTATAACAAATATGAAAAATAAATATAATACATACTTGGTCTTCTAAGAAGCATGTTTTCCAGTTTTCCCGTAAGTTTAAATAAGCCTGTTCTTCTGCTTGTTACCGAAATGCTGGGATAAGTTGATGAATAGCCAGAAGTTCCAGGATAATTTGCACGTGATGGTAATGATCGATAGTCTGATATGTTCTGTTCTTTAAGAGTACCTGATGTGCCAAGATATTCAACATGTTGTTTTCTTCCAGAGTCACCAAAATCTCCAGAAAAGTCTGATTTATTTAGAGAAATCCTTGTTCTATCATGTTCATCAATTCTTCTTTCCTTAAAAGGTACAGTAGTCTCAGGTATGACTGAATATCCAGAATGTGATTCTGTTTCTGATATGCCACGATGTATAGAAGTATCTTGCTCATTTGATATATTAGAAGTCTCTACTCGATCAGAGTATTTAGGTTTTTGTTGAGTTCTTAATGGGACAGACTGTCCAGAAGTATTTAAAGTATTAGAAGTATTTGGTATAACAAGTTTTTCATTCGTTCTTGCTTTTTTAAAAGGTAAAACAGCATCAGGTATGACAGAATATTCAGAATACGATTCTGTTTTTGATATGTCACGATGTTTAGAAGTATCTTGTCCATCTGATGTTGTATCAGGAGATTCTTTTGCGCTAGAGTATTCAGATTTAGATTGCATTCCTGATGATCCAGACTGCCCAGAAATGTGTACAGTACTAGAAGGATTTGTTAAGGTATTTTTGACATATTGTCCAGGATATCTTGGTCTACCTGGAAATCTATGGGTTCCTGGTTCACTCGACTCTTTAGGACGCGATTGTGTTTCTGATGTTCTTGAATGTCCAGTAAAGCATGGCTTCCTTTGATTATCAGTAGTATCTGGTGCAACAAATTCTTCAAAAGAGCTTGCTTTACTTGAAGAGGAAGAAGCATCCGGTATGACAGAATATCCAGAATACGWTTCTGTTTTTGATATGTCAYGATGTTTARAAGTATCTTGTCCATCTGATGTTGTATCAGGAGATTCTTTTGCGCTAGAGTATTCAAATTTAGATTGTATTCCTGATGGTCCAGACTGACCAGAAATATCTAGAGTACTAGAAGAACTTGTTACGGTATGTTCGCTGTATTGCCCAGGTTGATATTGTCTTGATCTATATGGAGTACTAAAAGTCTCTGGAGTATTTGAATGTGCAAAATGTGATGTTTTTTCTACTGGTTTTGCAATATTTGAAGATGATTGTATGTCAGGATATAGAGGATGCGATAATGCTTTCGTTGGTGTTTTCGCAGGTTTTTCTGCAATACCAGGAGCCGATTGCATGCTGGAGTACACTGGATGAAATGATGTTCCTGGTGTTCTCGAACTTGCAGTAAATGGTAGATTTTCTTGGGTTCCTGCAATTATCATGTATGCATTATAATGTTATATTCACTTATCCTGTATTCAATGTTATTTCTTATATTCTATGATGACAAAGAGTATCTACCTGGTCAGTATGTTTAAGTGTTTTCTCGTTAATTAATGTCTGGTGTATTTGGTCTGTCAGGTGTTTTACAAATGTTATCGTATTCTACCGAGTGAGGATATTCAGGACTAATTGACAGTGTTCTTTCGCTATCACTGTCTAAGAATTTAGAGGATATTGGTGATGAAACGTAAGTTTCTTTTAATAAAGCAGAGATTGTATTATTAGAATCTGGTGAGTCGGCTGTATTTTCTTTAGGATCATATATAAATTCTGGTATATCAGGAGTTTTTGGATATTCTGGTGTATGTATTGAAATCAAATTTGAATCTCTAATTCTAGAAGGGCCTGGTAAGGAAGAATTTATAGTAGAAACCTCTCTTATGTTTAAGTATCTAGAAAGTGGTACTTGTTCATATTCTGTTCCAATGCCAGAAGACGATAATTGGTCATGAGACATAGATGGTGATTGTATAGCTAAGTGCTCAGAAGAAGAGGAAATATCTTGCTTTTCAAAAATGTTAGGTTCTGTTTGTTTGTCAAATTTTACATGATCTGATCGCTTCTTTGACTGCATTACTTGATAATATATGTTAATCGGAATACTACAAATAATTGATGGTTTATGTGGAATTAGGGTTGATGAAACTGGTGATTGGTGTGGACTCTCTTTGGAAGAATACAGATTCATGTCTTCTGATGTACCTGGATATACAGAAGATTGTGATCCTTCTTTTTCAGAATTACTTTGTCCACTTGTAGTATCTGGAATATTTGATGTACCAGAGGTAGAAGAATGTGGTGATACATTTCCATCAGAATTGTCTTGCATATTTTGAGTATATGAAGTTCCCCCTGTATCAGAATTTTCTGGCGTATCAGCATATACAGGTTGTGGTAATATTTTTAATGTTTTTGGTGTTCCTAAGCTTCCAGAAGTTCCTGGTGTGTCAGGGTCTCTAAAATGCGATGGTGTTTCTGTTGAGCTTGGAGTACCAAAAATATCTTCTTTACCTGGGGAACCAAAAATCCTGGATGTGCTAGGATATGTAGGGTGCAATGGGGTTCCTATTATTCCTGGAACGTCAGAGGTTCCAGACTTTTCAGGTGTGTTAGGAATATTAAAAGTTCCAGGAGATTCTGGTTTATCAGAAATATTAAAATTGTCTGGTAGAGGAGAAAGTACAGGTTGTGATGGTTTTTCTATAATAATAGGAGTTCTTGATGTGTCGCTGTATGGAGGTTGGAATGGTTTCCCAGGAGTGACGGACGTTCCAGATGTGCTTGGATATTCTGGATAAAATGATTTTTTTGGTAAGTCTGGAGTATTAAAAACCAGTGGTTTTGCTGGTTCTCTAGGGAATCCAGGATGTGACGGTGTTTTTTGTGTTTCTGGAATGTCAGGAACTCTTGGTCTACCTGGGATTTTCGGAGTGCTAGGAATTTCTGGTATGTTCGGTTTTTCAGGATATTCGGGATGCGATGGTGTCTTATGTATTTCCGGAATGTTAGGAACTCTTGGTCTTCCTGAGATTTTCGGAGTGCTAGGAATTTCTGGTATGTCCGGTTTTTCAGGATATTCGGGATGCGATGGTGTTTTATGTATTTCCGGAATGTTAGGAACTTTTGGTCTTCCTGGGATTTCTGGAGTGCTAGGAATTTCAGGTATGTTCGGTTTTTCAGGATATTCGGGATGCAATGGTGTCCTATGTATTTCCGGAATATTAGGAACTCTTGGTCTTCCTGGGATTTTCGGAGTGCTAGGAATTTCAGGTATGTTCGGTTTTTCAGGGTATTCGGGATGTGATGGTGTCCTATGTGTTTCCGGTACTTCTGATCCTTTTGGGTTGACAGGAGTTTTTGACGATGTTGGAATGCCAGGATGTTCTGGTCTTCCTGGAACACTCGGAGCTTCTGGTTTTTCAGGGTGTATAGGCCGAGATGGTGTTTCTGGTGTGCCCGGAATGACGGGGTGTTTATGTATTTCAGGAATTCCCGGAGTCTTAGATGCTGCAGTTCCAAAAAGAAAATTATGAAATTATTTAAATATTATTAATAATTATATCTAGATCGTGTTTGTGTGTGTGTGTGTGTTTTCAATGTTCTTACTTCCATGATCTGGGAGTAGTACGATATTAGGATTATTATTCGTCTCTTCGAATTGTGCACATATGGGTGGAAAATGTAATTTATTCCAAGCAGTTAGAATGCCGTGATGATCATGACGATCATCGTTGTTATTTTTTTCCGATTGGCTATCCTCATGATGTTCGTGTTCATGAACAAATAATTCTACATTTTGTCCAGGCTTGACTACTCTGTATCCCCATCCATCGCTTATGTAAAATGTTGTTTTTAATTTTCCCAAAGGGTCCACGTAGCCATAACATCCATATGTAATGTCGTCCGGTCCGTGTACTTCATGATGAAATTGTCCATTAGGGCTCACCTCGTAACCGTAGTTATATACATCTGATCAAAAATATCTTTAACTTTAATTTGATCAATTAAAAGATATAATAGTTCATTTATAATTGTGATGATTAATTGTCTTGCTTCCTATTGCCATTTTTACTTACTCGAATAAAAATTTTGATTCAAATATTGAGCCTTGTGTTCATCGTTGATGTCGAAAATCAATTCCGTGCCTTTCTTTTTATCTTCTAACTGTACGAACTGCGACAGTACAGTGGTAGTAACCTTAGGAAAGTACATTTCTATTTAATCTTTAATTAATTCAGTGTCAGACAAATTTAGAACGTCTTGCACCTGAGTGCCAATATTTGACTTTTTAAATAAACATGATGCAATTTCATTTAATAATATTCTAATAATATTAAGTTACAGATAATAGTATCTGTATGGTATGTGTAATAAATCTAAACTTGTAACGCATCGTGGTTGGCAATGAAAGGGTTATTAAACGTTCAACTAATCCGTTCAAATCTAACGAATTAGAATTTTCATTAAAGTAATATTAATATTCACGTTAGCTTTCGAGATACTATAGTCAACGTATTATTCAAAATGATGCTCCAAAATTGATAAGAACTTTTCATTTTGTGTTATCGCCAAGACATAATTTTATATTTCTCATCGAGAAAGATAAAACACTTATCGTGACATGCGATCACATGATGTACACATGACGGAACACCAAGGTGAAGGGAAAGTAAGTTCGTTAAAAAAGCCTATGATGTATTCCAATACCTCTCGACTTGTTTTACTATACGTATACGCGAGCATCCTTCATTTTTCAGACTCATTCGTTTGGTTTAATTGTCAGTTCCTTTTTCGTTACGACATTTAGCGAGCAGAGTGAGAGTAAAAACGTTGATACTTCACCACGTAACACTTTCCACAAGATTTCGATCTTTCTTTCTGATGCAAATATGTATGATACTGTGTTTTGTTCGATGATATAATAACATGAATTAATTTTACGTTTCAAAGACAAAATTTCACGAGATAAATATATATATTTTGTTTTAAATTTTTAATATCCATTTGTTGAGACATCAATGTAATATCATAGGTCATTGAAATAGACACATGTCCGCCTCGTCGAAATAATATCGTTTGAATAATATCTTTCACTGACTGATGATCTCAGCGATTCCGTTGTTCCACCTACGAAAAGGGAAAGTAAAATCCTCTTAAGGATACGAATACGTTCTCAGGGCCAGAAATGTTTTTAACCAGACATTGAAAATGTAGGTGGACTATGTTTGATCGGAACGTGAAAATATTTCCAAATTTTCGTTCTATCGGATAGAACAGTTTATTACTCTATTTGAAATAGGAGCTCTGTTTTTTTTTCTTCTCTCTTGTCGCGAAAATCGTATACCGTTAACGAGGAAGCGTCATCTTGTCGAGAAGTTGATGATCGCTAAATTATACGTTTATCCAAGAAGGAGAAATAGGCGGATCCAATATCGCGTGTTACTCCGCGTGACTACTAATTAATTACGTTAATATAATTATTTTACGTAAAATATATATATATATATATATATATATTTATAAGAGCATTCGACAAGTAGATATTTTTAGATAAATTAATCAAATTGGAATATACAATAGATAATATTTAAATCGTTACGTTATCTTCGATTGTGATTCGTTAGTAAACGTATGCGTTTTATGTTTATCCGATTTTACACGCGAATTATTTATATTACAGTTTTTTTCTTTTTTTTCTTTTTACGGAAGTTTGACCTTTCGGTTATATCTCGAAAAACCGGATCTACCTTTTTCTTTCTCTTTATCTTTCTTTTTAATACTATCTTAATTATTCACAAGCAAAAATCTACCCAGTCAGATCACCAAAAGCTGTATCGATTCGAGCATCGGAAAAAACGAATCGACGCATCATCTTTTAGTGAAAGTTTTAACTCGAGTTGTGTAACGGAATAAACCGTCGATATTGCCAACGGCTTTTGTAGAAGCTAAAAACGTTTCTTCCATGATCGTTTGTCTCTTTCGGACATCCACTTTCGTGTTCTGGTTTCTTCAAACGAAACCTATTCTTACTCGTTTCTTTTGAAAACTCGAACTAATTCTTTTTGGAACTTTAGGATACTTTTATTTGATCCTAATAAATTTATTATCATACATTCCAAGAGGGAACAAAAAGAAAATAAAATAAAATAAAAAAAAGAACGAAAAAAAAAAACACAATCCGATGATCGATCAACTTCGACTAACCTATTTGTCTTTATTTTTCTTTTTTTATGAGATAAAAGACATGTTGGCGTTATAGATTTATTGCATTATTCACTCTTTTCATACTTTTTATCCTTCTGTATTAGTAAAGTTTTTAAAGAGAGAAATGACATTAAACGCGATATCAAAATTTAACTCTGGTTTCACTTGGGAGAAATGAATTTTTTCGGTTCCTCGTTAAATTGTGATATTCAATTTCAATTTTATATACATTCTAACGTGTTCTATATACTTTTGGCCTAAAATGTGACTTATATACTTTACAATGTCCAAATCTTACTTTTTTTCCCGATGAAAAATTTATTCGACGAGGAATAACTCAAATAAGTATAAATGGTAATTAGTGACTTTTGGTTAAACACGGACGATATAAAGAATAAATTTACATCGAACGAGTTATGGAAAAGTAATTCTAACTACGTAATCACAATCACCAACTAGGAATCGATAGAACCTTGGAAAAGTTTATTGTCGGTTTGTTGCAACACAGCGAAAATAAAAGGTTTATTGCAAGAAAGAAAGTTGGCCTTTGCAGAATGCAGAAGAATTCATTGTCAGACCCCATGATGAGCAGTGGCGATAATAATAATAATAATAATAAGAAGAAGAAGAATCATGTTTGTGGTTTAGTGGTTTTTCATTATTAAAATAGCGAGAATAATTAACGGAATGTCGGACGTACACACTTGATTCAAATAAAAATGAATTTTACGTTCGCTAGTTGATGTAATGCAAAAAAAAAAAAAAATAATTACTCGCACTTTACGTGAGTACGCGTTAAATAAATTAATTTCAACCTCACGAGGTCCTTTAATTTATTACTCATTCATAAATAACTTTACAACCCACTATTCGATTCCATCTAAGATTATTTCGAAAGTATTATACCTATTTGTAAGCTATAATGATCGATCAATTTCAAATTCTTTATATTTTACGAGATTGTATCCCAGTGTAATTAAAAGATTTAATTATTAAGAATTTTACGATTTTATTACGTGGAAATTGTTACAAATTGCCACTTTTTGTATTATTTTATTAGTTTTTATCAAAGTTACTCATAATGAACGGTGGTACCTACGGGGAGAAATGCTTTCGTGCAGAACTAATTAACTGTTTGTAAGCTTTGTATTTAACCGGCTGTATCGTGCCGTTAAACGTTGCATTTCTCTCTCTCTCTCTCTCTCTCTCTCTCTCTCTCTCGCTCTCTTTCTTTCTTTCTTTTTTTTTCTTTCTTTCTTTCTTTTTCTTGAATATGTAAACAGTACAAATGGGATTGCGTCGAGTGATAGCCTCATGGAAGATCCGAGGATAAAAAGATCTGACGATTTGACCGGTAGTCGTAGATCATTCTTGATTTTTCAATGGAAGACGTCTCGTTTATATGGACATCATTGTAACGTAATGTAAATTACTTATGTTAGTTACTACTGTAAATAGAACTCTGATAATCGTATGTTATATCGAGAATTGAAAAGAATTTTTAAATTTATATTTATAAATTATATTCGATTCGCGTATAAATGATATATGAATCATATTTTTGTATCTCCGTATCTTTTATTGTCCTACGTTTTTATTTTTTTTACTGTTTTGTTTTTTACACAAAAACTAAATGGGGCCAAAAAAAAAAGAGGAACGAAAAAAAGAGAGAAAAGAGATAACAGATGAATGATTAAAACTGAAATTTATCTGTCGACCGTATCGGCGAATTTCGCGATATCGGGGAAAATCCAATATTTCTTCCGTTAGTGGATTTGTATAACTTTTAATAGTCCGTTTAGATGATAAGCGATTGAAACGTTTGAAAATATGAAAACGGACGACGGTCTATTTCTTTTCTTTTTTTTTCTTTTTTTTTTTCTTTTTTCTGTCAATTATTTTCTCGACAAAATGGTCGATTAAAAAGTATTTTCTTCTTTGGTTCGCGAGACATTAGAAAGAAAACAAAATACAAAAAATAGAAAAGAAAAGGGAAAAGTACTTACAATAACGAACATTTGTTACATCTCGGTAAAAAAAATATTATTTATATTCCGAGAGAGATAATATTATCTTTCGAAACGGAGAGAAAAAAATAGAGAACTCTCTCTCTCTCTCTCTCTCTCTCTCTCTCTCCCTATATATATATATATATAAGAATAAAAGAAAATTATAAGTTGAGGAATTATATCGCGATTAAACGAGAAGATGTTAGATGATTGATAGTAGAAGTTCAAGGCTTAAGAAATACACGTATAGAACTGTTTTCTTCTATATAGTATGTGTATGCACATAACCGACACGTTTATATCTGGCCTTTATGACATTGCTCCGATACGCCTCGTCGGAGAATCATGAATGAAATGTAGTGCAGCTGTGTTGCTCTCAGATGAATGGAAGTCAAGATCAATGAAAGCTGACGTTGCTCGCTTTCACGATTATTCGCTTCTACGATTCCTCATTTACCCATTCAATGAAATATTCGGTGAATATGCATGCATCTCATTACGTATAATTGATTAAATTTTCTATTATTATTTCTATTATTTGATTAATAATTTTATTAAATATTTTCATTAATAAATTATCGTTAAGCATGAATATTTTGTTTAACGTAAGTAGTAGTTAACTATTAGATATTGACTATTATTTTCTAAATGCTAATTGAATAATTTTATTATTAATAATATCCATATCTTTTAAATAGCATTCATTTTTCCTACGACAATTTAATATAAAAATGATAAATAGGAATGTGTTATTTATTCGAGAAGAAAGTGTATAAGAATATTTTGTTTGAAAGGACAGTAAAAGCGTAGATTTGATTTTTGTTTCTATTGGAATAAGAAAATGAATAACATCAGTAGATAGAACATGTAAACGAGGTCGTTGTTTCTATCACTTAACTTTTCGTAGCATTGATTTTTACGATTTTCTATTTGCAGTTGACATGCTCTGCCGATTTCGCAATCTTTTGGAATTTCGTCGCGCGAGAACCCGTACGCGTATGTAACGGCGCAGATTTAAGCACGTGTCGTTCCTATATTTGCCTTTGTAATTCAAACCGTTCGAACATTACTACAACTTTTACTTTTCTATCATTTTACTTTTACTCTACTTTCAAAAACTCTTCAAAGTGTGTATTTCCATTCTTCTTTGGAATCTTTCGAAATCGATTATAAGTTTGACAAAAATAAATAAACCTATATATATATATATAGAGAGAAAGAGAGAGAAAGAGAGAGAGAGAGAGAGAGAAAATATTCTACACTTTGATGAAAAAAATAAAAAAAAAATACGTTTCGATTGGTGATCACTGATCGTCACGTGCACTATCGAAACTGATCAATAATTTTTCTTCCCACATAAGAAACTAAATTGCACTTGATGTCAAGTCGTAGTAGTAGTAGTAGTAGTAGTAGTAGTAGTAGTAGTAGTAGTAGTAGTATGACTTTATCCAAGTTGAAGTTTTCGTAGAGTAAGGGACGTACCAGGGTGAAGAAAGCAAATGTCGTAGGGTTAAGGCAGATCTTCGAAAGCATTTTTCCGAATATCCTGCTGAGAGAGATAGTCTCCTGTCGATGAGGGTCCTGTTGAGGGTCCTGTTGAGAATCCTGGAGTGTTGTTGATTCTTGTTATTGGCAAGGCATCCTTCGTCCTGATAGTTGCGCCGTTATTAAAGGCGACCTCCTCTCAGCCTCGACGAAAGATGATCTTATGTTAGTGAATTAGTACGCAGTTTGTGTGTGTGTCAGCTGAACTGAAAGACTGAAGTCGTCGCCAGTCGAAGAAGCCTTTTATACAGGGTGGGGGGTCGTCTACCAGGCCAATCGTCCAACTTGATACCCATCCTCCTTGTATCCTCCTCTCTTCTTTCCATTCTTTTGCTTCCACCTCCGTTTTACCTCACTCTTTACTACCTTTTTCGTCTCCTATTTGTTTTTTTCACCTTCACGCGTGGTACACCCTCTCTTTTCTCTTTGGTATGTCCTCCAATGAAATTATTTGTGAACAATGTATTGGATCCAACGCGTTTTCAGAGCTCAGCGTATTGTTGACTGCTTTACAATATCTTATTTGTACAATAATGCATTAATGCACTTTTTTAATATTCATCCTTTTTTTATTGTTTAATAATTTATAACTTAATTTAAGAATCTTGTTGTTATTAAATCATCAAATAATTTCATCTTGATCTTTTCTTTGTCTTTTTTCTATAAAATATTTTGTTACTTTTTTTAAAATTACGATCTATTCTGTAAATTAATTAAACACTTTATAAAGTATGATAGCTATTGGTGTAATAACAATACCGACCGATTATCTTGTCTATTATTTTGGAATTTTGAATATACATTTATTTCGGTAATCATTTTGCATAAGAATATGCAAGGCTTCGTTACCAAAGCAACGTAACAGGTATATTCATTTAATTTTAATTTTTTGATTCGTCGACACGCGTATATAAAAAAAAACACATTAAAATCAGATATATAGTAACCCAACCATAACGTTCGGTTTGTTATATACGAGATATCTCGTGACCCGTACACAATGTGTTAACATTTTACAGTTCTCTAATTTTTTACTATGTTCTTTTTTATTTTCTTTGCTATTTATTATAAAATCACATGTCCTTCCAAATCAGTTGAATTTTATTGTCTCATATCTTAATATCCTTTTTGTTTCTTTTTATGCATATTAGTAAAGTTAGTATATCAATTAGCGAGTAACTATGTACTCGAAAATTCTATCGAGTCGATAAGTGTTTCAACGTTATATAGAATTGCACAAAAAATATAAAAAGTTATCCTTGAAATATTATCCTGTTAGGTAAATCCTTGTTAATTCTCGTTACGTTTCCCAGGAAGATAAGACGATATATATTTAGATGCGTTTCATTGGTATCTCGTGAGAAATTATGAAGAGAGGAATTAACTTTATGATTCTTATTAAAATTTATCAAATTTTTTAACTGGTTTTTTTTTTTGCTTTTGTCGACACAAAGGTATTACAAGATTGATCGAGTTATGGGCTTTTTATTCTGTTCTCAACCTTCGAATGAGAAGTGCATCCTTTACGAAACTAATACTCTTAGAAAGCTATTACCCTTGAATGGGATGAAAAAAAAAGGAATTTTTTTGATTTAAAGAAGCCATTTAGAACGTTGCTACCTTGTAATATCTCAATTAAACATGAAATGCTTTTTAATGATCGATAAAATTCGATTAATTATAATACCATTTATGGTAGTCGTGTCTTTGATGCTCAGATACCTTACATTTATTTTTCTATCAATGGTAGATTCATTCTTGGAATTCAATTTATATTCCCATGAAATATTTGTATTTTTAATAGAACAAATGTTGATGAAAGCACGTTAAATGGAAAGGAATAGACTATTTTGCAATATGATGTTAAATTTCTTATGTGGTATCCCGAACGGATGGAATTACCGTCAAGGCCATCAGTATTTTTGCGACTACGTAATTAGTGGGTTTGCTAATGTCACCCAGTTAGTTTTTTCTCCCCCTTGCTAAGCAGGGAATTCGAGATAAGAGGAAATCGCTAAGGTTGTCTTTTGGATTAGAAAGAAAAAAGAAAAAAGAAGAAGAAAAAAAGAAAAAAGACAACAGGAAAGCAAGAAGAAGAAGAAGAAAAAGAAGAGGAATAAAAATGTGAAAAGTATAAAAGCTTATTTCGTGTTACATGACCGAAGTTTAAAGCGTAAACCTTGACTTTAGAATTGGTCCTAGAAGATAATCGGATATCTCGAGTGCAACTGAAACTCGAGAGAAAAAGATCACGTTAAAAAGTTAGTAGGAAAAAGTTGTGTGCTAGTCTTCCTGTTATTTTCCTCATATACCTCCGATGTATTTCGCATTCAGTTGGTGTAAAAGTATCGTAGAAATCCTTTATTTTTACTGACGTCACTCGACTTATATATATATATATATTTTATGTTTTAAGAAAATCTCTGTAAGTCAAGGGGTTCGAGTGATTCATGTGTCGAGCTTATTCGAAATATCTGCAATGAAATATTTTCGAGGGAACGAACATTCGTTTAACTTGAGCCATTGTAACATCTACTTTATTCGCCACGGAAGGTTTCTAATTGGACGAGATTTAATGATCATGCCGTAAAAGGTTTACAATGAAAGGTCTCGTAGATATAACATATATATATATATATATATTTTTTTCTTTAAGTTTTCCCATAGAGATACCTACTTATCTAATAGGAATTAAAGATGATACAAGAGAACATTGACTTATATAAGAAAACCTTGTATTCTGTAATATACATTTTGATTAATAGCATTAATCCCTATTTGGTATTCGTTGTTCCAACATTTTTCATGAACAAAGAAAATAATGTTTATCTTTTATGTGTTTGTAATAATAGATAGATTTTTTTTTCAAAGGATTCAATTTTTATTTGAAAATCATCCTCCTTCCTATTCGAATGACAATAATTTTTCTTAGAATGAATTATGCTATTTTTATTTAAGTGCGATACTTTGTTATAATTTTGTTCATGAAAAATTTCATCCTGATGCGCATAGAGAATGATTAAAATGAATACGCGTGAGAAATTGGTTACGATATTAATATCCAAATTAATGTTTCATTTGTTCAAACGTATGTTCTCCGATATCTTGATATTTCGCGTTCAATGAGATTTATGATGGTATAAGATAACGTTTAACTGTGAAAAGGGTAAATGGAAGAGAAAAGAAAAATAGTCGAGTATTATTTTTCATAGTTACTCTTTATCTTACATTAGATGGAAGTTAATTCTTGGAGAGGATTCTGATTTCGCTGTTGTTTGATTTTCACATCCTCGGAAAGAATAATGAGTAAAAAAGTTTTTACAAAATCTCATATTTAGAAAAATTTAAATATGTCTCACTTTTCTACATCTGACCTATTCTTTATATTTTATTATTATAAATTATTCTCTCTTGATTTTCTTTAAAGAAATTAAATTAAAGATTATAAGAAATAATAAGAGAAGAAGAAGAAGAAGAAGAAGAAGAAGAAGAAGAAGAAGAAGAAGAAGAAGAAATTTCATTTTAATATGTTATGCATTATATATATGCCCGATATGGGATTTAAAACAAGTTACTTGAATAATTCGATTGCTATTGCCAATAAAAACAAATGTGTCAAACAAAATTTACTTGGTTTTAAAGGTGGCATAATCTCACGTTAATAGATTATTAATATGGAGGTGAACTCCATTTTGAAAAAAATGAAATGATACATTTTTGTATGTACCATTTAATAAGACACGTTTAAATATTATTCAAGATCATTAAAAGATCAATTACAATGGAAAATTATTATTTTAAAAACTATGATAATTAAATTTAAACATAACTATTGCCAGAATATTATATCACATTCGAAATCAAATAAATTTCGCCTGACACATTTTTTTTCTTTCATTAATAGAAATCGAGTAATTTTGGTGATCAATTTTAAAATGTCTGTCACCTTCTATTTATACATTATCTAAATGATATTTAAATAATCTTTGATCTGAATTCCGTGTATATCTTCTATTTGTTAAATGTTAATGTCAGTTAAGCTGATCCAAAATTGTTAAAAGAAAGTGTATTAAAATTTGGCAAAGGACTTTCGACGATCGGATTTAAACTTTCCTTTTCGTGAAATCTATCTTACGTTGCGACATATTTAAATGGAATCATCACTCGAATGATTCTGAATAAATCCAATAACTTATACTTGTATACGCATAACTGTGTCATACTTAGTGATCCGTAAATAATGTAAGTGGGTGATATTCGTAAGCCCATTAGTTTGTAAGATAAGTCAAGCGTTTCTAATTTTTTTATCGAATCTGTTATATGTATATGTGTGTGTATATACCATACATATAATTCTAATAATATAAAAAAAATTGAATACTAATACTTTTCTATTCAAAAGTAATTACACATGTGATTAACATACAATTTACATAGGAGTGTTAAAAAAATACAAAGTTTCAATTAAAATATTGTTCCTGCGAGAAGGGATTTAGATTGTTTCATCAAAAAGGAAATAAACATACTTGGAATAAATCGATAAATTGATTGTACAAATAATCGTTTTTTATTTGAACATTTTATAATTATCCTGGAATATAAAAGTAAACTTTAATCGAAAGGAATAAGAATAATAAGAAGAAGAAGATTTTGACTTTGTATCGTTTTTCAAATGGATGGTAATCGTGAAAAAACGTAAACGAAAGTAATAAGATATTCGCGTAGTCTCGTATTTGAAATTGATACTTGATTAAAAGAAAAGATGAATAAAAACGTCCCTCTTATCGAAGATTCCAACGTTGAGAGAATCGAGCACGATCTTTAAACGACCGTCACCACTTTCGGAATTGAAGTTTATGATCGTGTTCTTATCTATTATAGATCCTTGCACTTATGCATGTAACTATACAGAATCTATACACGAAATCTACATAGTATCAACAACATAGACATTAAATTTATGCTTAAGTAATATTTAACTTGATGATATATTCTCAACAAAAAGATTATTATTTTTAATGTATTGATCGCGGTACACATCTCTGTTATATATACATTAAAAAAAGATTTTTAACGTTCCAATTAAAATTATATAACATTATTAATATCGTATAAAATTAAATCTGTAGACGCGAATTTTTCTCAATGGGATTTAAATATATATATTTTAATTAAATAATACAAAAATATAAAATAAAAACTAATTTTGTTA